TTTTAGGTTATACGAAAATGTAAGTTTTGTTTCAACATTTTTTTTTTCAATATTTTTCCAATCCAACCCAACAATTATTATACATCATTTTAAAGAGAAAGCTTTGAGCTTTAATTTAAAATAAGTTTCATTCCTTAATTTCAATATTCACGGCTTCCAGGAATTTTTAAATTAGCATCTTTTTTGACATTTTTAGGGTTTATACGAAAATGTAATATCAACATTTTTTTTCTCCACATTTTTGTGATCCGACATTATTATACATCATTTTAAAAAGCTTCAATTTAGAATAAGTCTTATTATAAGAAAGTACCCTTAAAATTTGCTAAAGAATCACCCTCTGAAGTTCAGGAACGTCATTCACATACACCCCTGTATAAAATTTAATTTAATTAATTTATCTTAAGGTTCTTGGTCATAACCTATTAAAACTAATCATCAAATCNACCCTTAAAATTTGCTAAAGAATCACCCTCTGAAGTTTAGGAACGTCATTCACATACACACCCCCTGTATAAAATTTAATTTAATTAATTTATCTTAAGGTTCTTGGTCATAACCTATTAAAACTAATCATCAAATCAAATTATCGTGGAATTCCTCGACCCAACGTACGCACGATTATCCGGCAAGTACTTGAAGGTCTCGATTATCTCCACGCAAAATGTAAGATAATTCACACGGACATCAAACCGGAAAACGTTTTAATTTGCGTAACCGAGGAATACATTAGAAGACTGGCTTGCGAGGCGGCTGAAATGCACCAGCTCGGTATGAAACTGCCCACATCTTTAGTAAGCACCGCGCCCGTCCAAGAGGTTCAAGGTTCCACCAAAATGAGCAAGAACAAAAAGAAAAAGTTAAAGAAGAAGGCCAAAAGGCAAAACGAACTGCTCAAAAAGCAAATGGAACAGATCATCGAGTTGGAGGAACAGAAAAAGGTGAAAGAGAACGGTGATGCTAACGGCGAGGCCAAGCCGAATTGCAATGGGACTAATGTTAGTCCGGATGTTACTCCCGATGGTACTGAGGATAAGATTTTACCGAATGGGTGTGGTGATGAATTGGGAGGTGGAGAGAGTGGATCTCCTCCCGTCGAGGGAGCTGGGGAGGCTGTATCTCATATGTCGGAAGACGATAGTCCTTCAATTACTTCGAAAAGTGAGAAGGTCGAGTTGGATCCTGCTTTTGTTGAATGTGATTTTGAGGTAAATATAACTTCATTTAGTATTAATTAACCATTATTACATTGAAGGCGAATTTACAACATCAAATTTTATAACAAATGTATCAATTTGAAAAGTACAAAGAAAGCAACTCAAATTCCAATTTACAATAAACTTAGGGCAAAGGATCGTATGTTATTAGATATCTTTAGAATGAATTGAATCAAGTTATTCCAGCTACTATGAATCATTGACATACTCGAATTTAGTCGTGTTACTTTGGCACGCAATTCAAGGTCACATAGCTACATGAATCTTATCATTTGAATGTAAAATTTTATGAAACTAAATTTAATTTGATTTAAACGTTTTTGTACAAAATTGTATTGAAATGAGTTGGTTGCAACTTTTGGTGATGAGAAGTTTAATGCAACCTAACCTATAGAATGAAATTTCTAATTAACCTTGGAAATTTTTTTTAATTTTCTTTAAAATCTTAGAACTATTTGGCCATTCTTAGAAATACTTAGTTATCTTTAAAGATTCTTATATATTCATAAAAATCGTTACAAATCTGGATGGATAATCTTCAAAAACATGAACTGGATATTTTCTAGAATCACATGAATGTATTTAGCAAACCTTAAAAACTTTGGCAAACCTAACAAGTGTCCTGGAAATATTTTGAAATTCTTAAAAACTCTTCACTACACTCTCAGGATTTCTAAACATTCGTAGTTTGGATTTTCTTTTCAAATCATCAAGTCTGCATCAGAATTTTGTAGTTTGTCAAATCTAATTTAAATCTCCATCATGCTTTCATCAAATCTGTATGGAGACAACTACATAATATAAAGTCTATACCCCCAAGGTCACCAGATTTAAGCTAAGTTTAAGTTCCTGCTAAAAAAACTATATATTTACAAAAGAGCTAATTGAGATTCTAAGTGCATAAGAACTAGATACTGTTTACAGAAGACTAAATGCTGCTTGTAGAAGTTTCAACTTCACTATGATTTATCTTTTTCAAGCAAATGCTTTTATTTTTTAAAAGACTATTTTTTAATCTTTGGCATATTCATCATCTTTGGAATTTGACCTGTATGGAAAGGAGGAAACAAGACTATCCTACCATAGATCATCATTAACAATCTCTTTTTTAAGAAAACATTGTCTTCCAGTTGTTCTCTTCTTCCATTAACAATCCTCATACTTCTTTAATGATATACTCTTGTCACTTCAAACTTTGGACAGTGAAAAAATAGTGTTTTTGACATTTCTGAAAAATGAAAGTCTAATTTGCGAATTTGATGAAAATTTCTTTATAAACATAGTGCCTTTGCTAAATTTTATTTTTTGCCTAAGTCTAAACGTTTGGTATAAACATCTGTCTATTTTTGCCATTTCTCGTTTCTTACAATTTTTTACATCAAGAAGTAAGTTTAAGGACAGAATGACAATATTGTATCAATACTTACTTGAGACACTATATATTGTACAATATATACATACAAAGCATCCTTTTTTGTACACTTACACTCTTTTTTATATACTGTAACTGATGAGGTTTATTTAGATGACCCACTTTTTAACAGAAGCTTGACGTCTTTTTCACACATAAGTAGCACAGCTCTCTAATCTCCGATTTATCTACTTGAAAAACATGCTCTGAAGATATTCACCCATAACAATGGAGTGTTACGATTCTTTTCAACCATCATCTACCATCGGATCAAGTTTCTGTAACGGTTGGCTGACACTTGACCATTATTAAAATTGTCCTATGGAATATCCAACGTTATTATGGGCGCAGTGAACATTTCCCCAGCTTGCAGAAGAGTATATATTACTTGCGAAAGACCACATATTGATCGTTGAAGACTAGATATTGCTATCAGAAAAAAAAGTGCATACAGAACACTACTTAGTGTTTGAAGTTTGATAAATACTGCATATTGCTTGGAGAAGAATATATACTGCTTGGAGAAGATCTCATATTGATTACAGAACACTAGATATTAGTGTCAAAGAAGTAAATATTACATGGAGAAGACTACTCAGTGTTTGAAGCTTAACAAATGTTACATATTGCTTGAAGAAGAATATATACTGTTTGGAGAAGATCTCATATTGACTATAGAAGACCAGATATTAGTGTCAGAAAAATAGATATTGCTATCAGAAAACTGGGTTGGGTTGGGTACTGCACCCAGATGACTACTCACTCTTTGGAGCTTGAAAAATACCGCATATTGCTTGGAGAATAATATATACTACTTGGACAAGGTCTCATATTGATTACAGAAGAATAGATATTAGTGTCAAAGAAGTAAATATTACATGGAGAAGACTACTCAGTGTTTGAAGCTTAACAAATATTACATATTGCTTGAAGAAGAATATATACTGTTTGGAGAAGACCTCATATTGATTATAGAAGACTAGATATTAGTGTCAGAAAAATAGATATTGCTATCAGAAAACTGGGTTGGGTTGGGTACTGCACCCAGATGACTACTCACTGTTTGGAGCTTGAAAAATACCGCATATTGCTTGGAGAATAATATATACTACTTGGACAAGGTTTCATATTGATTACAGAAAAATAGATATTAGTATCAAAGAAGTAAATATTACATGGAGAAGACTACACAGTGTTTGAAACTTAACAAATATTACATATTGCTTGAAGAAGAATATATACTGTTTGGAGAAGACCTCATATTGATTATAGAAGACTAGATATTAGTGTCAGAAAAATAGATATTGCTATCAGAAAACTGGGTTGGGTTGGGTACTGCACCCAGATGACTACTCACTGTTTGGAGCTTGAAAAATACCGCATATTGCTTGGAGAATAATATATACTACTTGGACAAGGTTTCATATTGATTACAGAAAAATAGATATTAGTATCAAAGAAGTAAATATTACATGGAGAAGACTACTCAGTGTTTGAAGCTTAACAAATATTACATATTGCTTGAAGAAGAATATATACTGTTTGGAGAAGACCTCATATTGATTATAGAAGACTAGATATTAGTGTCAGAAAAATAGATATTGCTATCAGAAAACTGGGTTGGGTTGGGTACTGCACCCAGACGATTACTCACTGTTTGAAGCTTGAAAAATACCGTATATTGACTGGAGTAGAATATATATTACTTGGAGAAGGTCTCATATTGATTACAGAAGAATAAGTATTAGTGTCAAAGAAGTAAATATTACATGGAGAAGACTACTCAGTGTTTGAAGCTTAACAAATATTACATATTGCTTGAAGAAAAATATATACTGCTTGGAGAAGACCTAATAATGATTATAGACGACCAGATATTAGTGTCAGAAAAATAGATATTGCTATCAGAAAACTCGGTTGGGTTGGGTACTGCACCCAGAAGACTACTCACTGTTTGAAGCTTGAAAAATACCGCATATTGCTTGGAGAAGGTCTCATATTGATTACAGAAGAATAAATATTAGTGTCAAAGAAATAAATATTACATGGAGAAGGCTACTCAGTGTTTGAAGCTTAACAAATACTGCATATTACTTGAAGAAGGATACATACTGCTATTAGATAACTAGATATTTCCATGAGAAGACTGGGTACTGTATCTAGAAGACTACTTACTGTTTGAAACTTGAGAAATAATATATATTGCTTGAAAAAGGCTACATATTACTTGCAGAACACCACATGTTGATTTCAGAGGACTAGTTACTGTTATCAGAAAACTAAATATTGCTGTCAGAAAATTGGGTACTGTATCTAGAAGAACACTTACTGTTTGAAACTTGACAAATAATATATATTGCATGAAGAAGGATAGATACAGCTTGCAAAAGACCACATATTGATTACAGAGGACTAGATATTGTCAGAAAATTGGGTATTGTATCTAAAAGACTACTCACTGTTTGAAACTTGACAAATAATGCATATTGTTTGAAGAATGATATAAATAGCTTGCAGAATACCATATATTGATTTCAGAGAACTAGATAATGCTATCAGAAAACTAGATATTGCTGTCAGAAAATGGGTATCGCATGCAGAAGACTATTTACTGCTTGAAATTTTACAAATATTGTATGTTGCTTGAAGAAGAATATACAGGGCCCATTATGTATGGAATATAGAATATATCTTGGTAGGTATCAACTTTATAAAAAACATTTTATACAAAAGTTGTATATTTTATTTGCCATAATAAGACTGCATTTAATTGTTTTTAATTCAGAAAACAAATGAGTAACGAATAATAATTAAATTTTTTTAATGGCAATGTATTCTTTCTTTAGGCTCATTTGATAGAAATTACTTTTCTCTTTACGATGGCGTAAAATTTTTGTATCGTTACGTAAGAAAATTTTTGAGAAAAATGGAAAAATTGTTTATTAATAAAAATTAATCAATAACATTAATCTAGATATCCGAGATCGTCAAGTACCTCGAATTATTATTAAACAATTGAATGCTGTTTTATTATGGCAAATAAAATATTAAACAACTTTTGTATAAAATGTTTTTTTATAAAGTTGATACCTACCAAGATATATATACTATGTTCCATTCATAATGGGCATCCTGTTATATTACTGTTTGTAGAAAACCAGATATTGATGATTTATTATTAGAGAACTGGGTACTACATGCAAAAGGCTAATTAGATTTAAAGTATATCATTGCATTTATTTAAAAGCAGATGAAGTCAGACCCGTCAAATTATATTTAATTTAGTCCAAACTAGTCTCAGTCATCAAATTTACAAATACTGTATACTGCTTGGAGAAGAATATATACTGTTAGAAAAATAGATATTGCTATCAGAAAACTGGGTACTGCATCTAGAAGACTATTCACTATTTGAATCTTGACAAATAATGCATAATGCTTGTAGAACATCACATATTGATTTCAGAGGACTAGATACTGCTATTAGAAAGCTAGAGGTTGCTGTCAGAAAAGTGGGTACTGCATTTAGAAGACTGCTCATTGTTTGAAACTTGATAAATGATGCATATTGTTTGAAGAAGGATACATAATGCCTGCAGAAAAGTAGATATTGTTGTCAGAAAACTGGCTACTGTATCTAGAAGACTATTTACTATATAAAACATGACAAATACTGTATATTGCTGGAAGAAGGGTATATATTGCTTGCAAAGGACCACATACTTATTGATTACAGAGTACTAGATATTGTTGTCAAAAAAATAGATATTGCTATCAGAAAACTGCGTACTGCATCTAGAAGACTACTCATTGTTTGAAATTTGACAAATAATGCATATTGCTTGAAGAATGATATATATTGCTTGCAAAATACCACATATTGATTTCAAAGAGCTTGATATTGCTATCAGAAAGCTAGATATTGCTGTCAGAAAATGGGTATTGCATGTAGAAGACTATTTACTGCTTGAAACTTTACAAATACTGTATGTTGCTTGGAGAAGACCTCATATTGATTACAAAGAACTAGAATTAGTGTTGCTATCAACAAACTGGGTACTGCATTTAAAAGACTACTCACTATTTGAGACTTGACAAATAATGCATGTTGCTTGAAGGGAGGATAAATAATGTTTACAGAACACCACATTGAAGAAGGATACATAATGCCTGCAGAAAACTAGATATTGCTGTCAGAAAACTGGGTATTGTATCTAGAAGACTACTTACTATATGAAACTTGACAAATATTGTATATTGCTTGAAGAATGATATATATTGCTTGCAAAATACCACATATTGATTTCAAAGAACTAGATATTGCTGTCAGAAAATGGGTATTGCATGTAGAAGACTATTTACTGCTTGAAACTTTACAAATACTGTACGTTGCCAGATATTGATTACAGAGGATTATATATTGTATTCAGAGAACTAGTTTTTACTATTAAAGAACTGGGTACTACATGCAGAAAGCTAATTAAATTCAAAGTATAGCGTATTGTACCAGGTTGGCCAGAGACAGCAGAACGCGTTTTGAAGGGAAAGGGGGTGACGTCACGAGTTACGAAGCAGTGGGAGCTAAAGGTTGAAACGAATTAATTTATCTCAAATATACTGCTTTTTCTAATTAAACACTCTGATTATGAAAGTTATGTATTTTTCTTTTTTTATTATTTAATTACATAACTTATACCGGGTGTCCCTCAGAAGTGGCTCACCCCCATATTTTTTTTTATTATTAGTGATATAAGAAAACTATTTGGAATGCATAATTAGGCCGTTAAAACGGATTATTACGACATGAAATCATTCTCTTTGTGCTTCCGGTTATACCGGAAGTCAGTACTAATTTTGCTAGTTTTTTAAATCTATAATTTTTTTTTCTTCAGTTGGATAGACAGCATAATTTCACATAACTTTTACTTGAAAAAATTCATCATTTATCACTAATAATAAAAAAAAATATGGGGGTGAGCCACTTCTGAGGGACACCCGGTATACTTTAATAGAATACTTTTTCTTAAAACGTCAGCGTCTGTAACACGAGATGTCACGATTAGGGCATGTCAGGGGGGTTCACTTTTCATACGTTGAAATCTTACGTCTGGCCCCACGTTGCACGTTGTTATTGCACCCATAGTCTTCTTTGATTTAGGTCGTAATGTGTTTTTCTTCACGATGCTTCAATATAGATAGAGATCCAACTTTCCTGTCGTTTCTTTGATGGAATTTCTTTTTCCAGCTGGTCTTTTCTTGTCTTTATCAACTTGGTTTCTTCATTCCATTTTCTTTTTCTCCTAGCGAATCTTACAACATCTCCAATTTAATATTTTTCCTCACAGTACTTTATCTCTCCTTGCCCTTTTTACAATAGTTATTAAATTGCTCATCTAATCTGCATACGTTATTATTGGTGTTACCAGTTGTAAGGTTTTCAAAAAAAAATCTCTGAATAATTTTGCAACATGGCATAATCTGAAAGTTTCTAGTTTTATCTTCAATATTATTGGCCTTGAAAGATTATGAACTTATGTTAATGAGTGGTTCTAATGTTTTCACAGAATTTTAAAGGTAATGTTTTATTATTTCTGAAATTGTTAAGAACAATTAATCAAGGTTTGATTTAATAATAATATTAATGGTTCGTTTTATTTTTGTTTAGGTAAAAATAGCTGATTTAGGAAACGCATGTTGGGTAGATAAACATTTTACAGAAGATATTCAAACGAGACAATATCGTTCGTTAGAAGTTTTATTAGGAGCCGGTTATAATACTTCCGCCGATATATGGAGTACGGCTTGTATGGCATTTGAGTTAGCGACGGGCGATTATTTATTCGAACCACATTCAGGCGAAGATTACAGTAGAGACGAGGACCATTTAGCGCATATAATCGAGCTGTTGGGCGAAATACCGCGACGAATCACCACGCAGGGTAAAAATTCGAAATTGTTCTTTAACAAAAAATCGGAACTACGCCGAATCACCGGTTTGAAACCGTGGTGTTTGGAAGACGTTCTCAATGAAAAATACGAATGGAGTAGGAAAGATGCGGAAGAATTTGCAGCATTTTTAAAACCAATGCTTGATTTCGATCCGGATAAACGCGCTACCGCCGCTCAGTGTCTCCAACATCCGTGGCTTAGGGGAGAGTGAAATCATTTTTGTTTTATAATTATTATTTTTTTTTAAGGATGAAAAAAATTAAATGAAAAAAGTTTTTCCCCTCCCCCTTTCTGTATGTGTCTATTTTTTTCCGATACCGTGTAGTATATGAATATTCATTTTTTCATTTTCCTCGTTCTTTTTTTTATTATTATTATTATTATTAAGGATAATTTCGAGAAAAATGCGAAAAAACGTGTATTTATTTTTTATTTTGTACGTACAAGTTTTTCTTCATTTTTTTGTTTGGTTAAAAAGAAATGTAAAAATTTCCTTTAAACTTATCGACTTAACTAAAAAAAAGTCTTTGAGTTTTAATGGAAATTTATTTATAAGTTCCAAAATCGGTAGCTTTTTAAACGAAGGAGAGATATCTCAAAAATATTCTTTTTATTAATTAAAAATTAAATTTTCCCTACATTTTTTTTTAATTTGTACATAGAAATGATGTTTAAAAGAAAAAAAACTAGAAAAATTTGTGATGTGTGTTTACATATAGACAATATAAATTTACCATCACGCGCCCCTCTCGGCTGTTTTATCTTCCCTCCGTGGAAATATAATCTAAAAAGGAAAAATCCGTCTAAAAATGTTTTTGTTTCCATTTCATCCAATTTTTTTTTGCTGATTTTTATTTATTATTATAAAACTTATCATAACGCCCATGTATAACTCTATTCAAAACAAGGTTAACTGAAAAAAAAAAGTATATACTCTACTATTAGGCGAGCCAAGGGAAAATAAAAAAATTAAAAGAAGAAATATAAATAAAAAAAGTAAGACGATTGACTGTAGATGAAACCAATATTTAAGTAGTGAGCTGGAGCGGTGTCTAATCAGCCGCTCAGACCTCGACTAGTTGAAAGCACCAATATTTGTATTACTTATACCAATTGATTGGAAAAATTATACATTGTACATTAAAAAAAAAAAAAATAAACGCTAAGTACATTACATTCCGCATTTTAATACTTTTTTTCTCTTTCATTTCGCAAAACCATTTCATTATTATTTTTATTTCGTTTTTGTGTTTTAATTTTTATTATTTTTTTTTTCTTTTATTGGAATAAATATAATTTATTGTGAATTTTTATAAAAATAAATACAATAAAAAAATTATAAGACACAATTTATATCGTTATTCTTTTTTAAATGAACTCTACATCAAAAATTTGTAAATAATTATTTTATTTATATTACAGCATTGAAATTGGTTAAAATAAAGATATAAGTATATTATGAAGTCATGCAAAAGGAAGGAAGTAAAGAAAGTGGACCCATTAAAAATAAATCTAATAAATAATAACCTCCAATAATTTAAAGATGTTCTTCCACCATTCTCAATTGTAGATACAAAACAAATTCAAAAACAAAGACATAAATACAGGATGGTTCGCGAATGTTTTCAACGCCTTTCCTCATTTGCCATTAAAAGCCAGGTAACAAGAAAATAAAAGGAATAAGACTAAAACGATCGAGTGGGGGTATCCAAACTGGACATTAATGGTCCAAAACACATGTAATAATCATAACACATCAAGTATATTCTGTTTTTGAAGAGATTGGAGAACTATTAAAGACAGGGCAAAGATGCAACATTCATCTATTACAAGCATGAAGATGTTTTCTCTTTTACGCCGCTGAATATGTGATTCAAAAATCAATATTCAACAACATACAGGTGGATAAGACACAGTTGATGTCTAAGCAGATGACATCAACTGTGTCACTGATAGGCTTGTTATTTCTAAATCGTCCAGAAACTGAAAGATCTATCCCTCATTTGTCAGAACAAGATGTCTTTCTTTGTAATTTATGGCATAAGTTAGCAAAAATCGTTCCATATACAACACCTCTAAAAGAAGGTATGTAGTGATGGAACTGATAGCGATTTTGGTTATAATTTCTGGAGCATTTCTGAAGTGATACCTTATATTGCCACATTATTGCGATGTTTGAATAAAAATGAAATTAATAAGAAAGCTGATAAGATATAAAAGAAGAAAATTATCGATGAAAATTTTAGCAAAACTTCAAATACTGTTTTCTCAAAAACCAAAAGTTATTTTTCAAAATGGGTTGGTTCATTGGAAAGAGGACACTTTTATTAACATTTTGGGAAATTTTCATACTCGTATTCCAAGAATTGGATTTTATACGAATTTTTAAAACTTAATCGGCGAAAATTGCAAAATTCGAAAAAATTGTTCATTTCAAAAATTTATTTCTCAAGAACTAAAAGTGATTTTACAAAACGGCTTTTTGCATTAAAAAGAGGATACTTTAATTAATAATTGGTGATATTTCCACAAGGATCTTTCAAGAAATTAATTTTATAGCAAATTTTGAAAATTACCGATGAAAATTGCAACATCAAAAATTTTATCAAAACTTCAAATACTGTTTTCTCAAAAACCAAAAGGTATTTTTCAAAATGGGCTGGTTCATTGGAAAGAGGACACTCTTATTAACACTTTGGAGAATTTTCAAACTTATATTCTAAGAACTGGATTTTATACGAATTTTTAAAACTTAATCGGCGAAAATTACAAAATTCGAAAAAATTTTCAATTATTTCAAAAATTTATTTCTCAAGAACTAAAAGTGATTTTTCAAAACGGCTTTTTGCATTAAAAAGAGGATACTTTAATTAATAATTGGTGATATTTCCACAAGGATCCTTCAAGAAATTAATTTTATAGCGAATTTTAAAAATTATCGATGAAAATTGCATCATCGAAAATTTTATCAAAACTTCAAATGTTGTTTTCTCAAAAACGAAAAGTTATTTTTCAAAACGTGTTGGTTTATTGGAAAGAGGACACTTTTATTAACACTTTGTAAAATTTTCATACCCATATTCCAAAAAGTGGATTTTATACGAATTTTTAAAACTTAATCGGCGAAAACTGTCGATCATTTTTTCAAAAATTTATTTCTCAAGAACTAAAAGTGATTTTTCAAAACGGCTCTTTCCATTAAAAGAAGTTTTAGGTCTACCAAGCTTTCTTTTTCCTTCTGGCCTATCTTCTTGAGTATCTTATTTCATTCTTCTTTCATTTCTTCTCTGATGTTCTTGTTCTGTACCCTATTTCTTCTGGTTTTCCCCAATATTTTGCGTAAACTTCATCTTTGCTGCTGTTATTTTCGATTTGTGCTTGTCCAACATTGTCCAAGTTTCGAATCCATAATTAAGTGTGGGTATAAAGTAGACTACACTTGCTTTTGCNCAAAACTTCAAATAGTGTTTTCTTAAAAACTAAAAGTTATTTTTCAAAATGGGTTGGTTCATTGGAAAGAGGACACTCTTATTAACACTTTGGGAAATTTTCATACTCATATTCCAAGAAGTGGATTTTATACGAATTTTTACAACTTAATCGGCGAAAATTGCAGAATTCGAAAAAATTGTCGAGCATTTCAAAAATGTATTTCTCAAGAACTGAAAGTGATTTTTCAAAACGGCTTTTTGCATTAAAAAGAGAATACTTTATTCCTCATCATTGATTTATCTTCTATACTTCTTCCTCTTTCTGGCCATAGTCCGTACTTCGGCGAGTCTCTTCCCTCTTCTTTCAACTATCTTCTCAATTTTTTTTTCCTTCTGGCTTATCTTCTTGGGTATCTTATTTCATTCTTCTTTCATTTCTTCTCTGATGTTCTTGTTCCTTCTGGTTTTCCTCAATATCGCGCGTAAACTTCATCTTTGCTGCTGTTATTTTCGATTTGTGCTTGTCCAACATTGTCCAAGTTTCTGATCCCTAATTAAGTGTGGGTATAAAGTAGACTACACTTGCTTTTGCTGTTCTGTTTCGTATTTCCTGATCTATCTTTCTATCCTTACTTATTATGGGGAAATTAAATATGGGAAGGAGTTAAATATAGGAAGGTAAATATATATAGGAAGATAAATATATGGTAAGTATAGGAAGGAGCTAAAAATTGCTGAGTAGATATAAAACTGTTACCGATTATCTAAATGAGAATGAAATGGCTGAGGAAAGAAGCAGTAGATGTGGGATGAAGAAAAGACTTTTATAAGAAGCAAAGCGCCTCAATCGATTCATTGAGCAGTTAAGCTGTACGTGATGGTGCATTATCATTAAGAAAAATCACTTTGTTCTGCTTATTTTGATATTCTTGTCATTTTGCACGCAAAGTTTGGTTCAAATCGATCATTAGCGTTTAGTATTAACAATTCCGCAAGATTTTAGCAGCGGAAATAACGCGGTTTGACAATAATATTGACAGTTAACGCCATCTATGGGCAAATTCCGCTTTTATATTTACACATTTAATAATTAATTCTAATTCAATATTTCCCATTTTTTCTATTTTATTTAGCGCAACAATCTTGTCATTCTTTATTCTGCACTTTATCTTTCAATTATCGTTTCATCTCGATTTTCACGGAACATTTTCTCAAATCTTTACAGGTTAATTTTTTACCTGTCAAATTGCTGTCAACTTGGCAAAAATTTGACGTTCAATCTGACGTTTGGCATATTAAAAGACAAATTAGTTTTTAATTTTATATTTATACATTAATTAATTAAAACGAAATGTAATAAAGATTCTTTTAACCTCAACTAATCTAGTTAATGAAAATGTTACTAAAAATTAAAAAAAAAAACATAAATTTTATAGCCTTTAGGTAATACCAACAGAAATTTTAAATCTTAAAAATTGACTTTGACAGATACAAATTTCTTTTTGTAACAACAATTATTAATAATAATGTAATAATATAAATAAAAAATAAAGTTAGGTTATGATTTATAATCGTTAAACATAATAATAGATAAAAACTAATCCAAATAATTTACAACTCAATCAATGCCCCCAAAAAGATGATAACAAATCCAGATAAAACACTTTATTTTTTATAAATAATAACTTAATACGCAACCCACATACAGATAAAGTGCATAAATCGAAAAAACAATCTATATTTAGAATTATAACCGCGGAGATCGCCCGTAGTGTAATTATTTCGTTTAAAATTAATTTTTAAAGCAGTTTTAAATAAAAATGAAAGTTGCTATTGTCGGTGCGGGTGTTGTGGGATTAACCACAGCTGTTGAGTTACAAAAGGAGGTCAAAGGCATCGATGTAACGATTTTTGCGGATAAATTTTATAAGGACACAACGAGTTATGTTGCTGCGGGGCTTTTTAGACCCGGGACAAGTTTCGCTGGACCAACACAAGAAATTACAAAGTATTCTTTTTTTAAACATTTAAATATTCTCATTTATTTATTTTTATTTAAGAAAATGGATTGTTGATTCATACAATTATTGGGATAAAATTCGAGTAACCCCCGAATCCCCCAAAGCTGGAATAACCGAAATTTCCGGTTACATTTTTTCAAGCGAACATAAACATTTAACACGAAATCATTACATAGAAGACGTCGTTCCTTTATACCGTAGCGCAACGGAAGACGAATTAAATTTATGCCCCGGAAATTGGAAATACGGAAGTTTTTTTAGAACGATTTTAACCGAATGTACGAGATATCTCCCTTGGATAACCGAAAAATACACCGCGCTAGGTGGACGAATTCACCAAAAATCAATTAATTCGTTTTCGGAATTAACCGATTTTGATTTAATCATAAATTGTTCTGGATTAGGTTCAAAATTGTTGTGTAAAGACCATAAAATCGTTCCGATTCGGGGACAAGTTTTAAAAGTAAATGCGCCGTGGTTAAAAACGTTTTTTTACGGCGATTTCGACACTTACATAATCCCTGGGTTTGAAACTGTTACTTTAGGAGGATGTCGTCAATATGATTCGTACGATTTAAACGTAAATAAATTCGACTCAATGGCAATACAAGAACGATGTTACTCATTAGTGCCTAGCCTAAAAAAGGCTGAAATCGTAACAGAAAAAGTTGGGTTAAGACCGCATCGAGACCCTGTTAGAGTTGAAAAAGAATTAATTGAGGTTAATGGGAAAAGAATTAAGGTTGTTCATAATTATGGACATGGTGGGTATGGAGTTACAACTGCCCCAGGAACTGCGTTATATGCAGTTAAATTGGTTAAGGAGAGTTTATCAGGGAATAGTAAATTATAAATTTTTTGATTTAAATATATATTATTTGAGATTCACTTAATAAAATAAATAATATATGAAATATCCACCGTTATTTTTTTTTTCTTTAATATACAAGATTTATTTTTACAAAATTAGAGCTAATTTTAATTTAGCTGCCATTTAAAATTCATTTATAATAATAATAATAATCAATTAATTAATTAATTAACAATTACGTTTTGAATAAAAAACTAAGTCACCGTAAATCTCACAACCATGTGCTTATTTTAAATTATTTAAATTAATTTTAATTAAAAAAAAAAGTGATTTAATTACTCATTTACACCTACGTATTGTAAATCGTTCTGTAAATCACAACACTTACTAGCAAAAATATAAAAATACGTTAAGGAGATAGAAAAACAGTAGTGAATTATTTTTTTAAAATATTTACGTATTTTTTAATACTTTTTTTAAACAGATTATTTATAAGGCACTAGAGAGAGAAATAGATGTGCGAAAAATTTTTAAAACTAAAAGAGTAATACTTAAATAAATTAATTTTTAGCTTGATTATTTCTTTTTAAAAATTCCTTGTAAATTCGGTAAAGGGTTATTCTTATTAACTACGGGGTTGTTGAAAATCTTGCTGACCCTTTGGCGAACATCTTCAACGCTTGGTGTACTTATTTTTACGGATTTTTCTATTGTTAATAACGAAGAGGAGTTATCAACTTTTCCTTCGACTTCTTTTATTAACGAGGTTACTATTTCGTATTGCGATGTTAGTGATGGGTTTTCTTTTACGACAAATTCTAAATATCTAAAAATAAAGTTAAATTAATTTGATGAGTTCTAATTAAATAGAAATTGTTATAATTCGATGTTTCAAAAGTAGTATATTAAAGTGCTTTAATTGCTAAAATTTGAGGCTTGATTCTTAATCAATTAATTTATTATTTCTCTCTATAAAACAGATATAAAATATATCTCGAAGAATTCGATTTTGGAAGCGAAATGTAAATAAAAAAGAAAAATCTTGTCTTACATGGAATTGTAACGAAAATTACTGAAGTTTCGGATTCATTTGGACTGGAAGTAAAATTTATCATTTGCCGCTATGATGAATATTTCTGATAAAGCTCAAATCACATCTTATCAAGTCTTACAATTGATCGCAAAAATAAAAAAGCCCATGTTTGGCTGTACATCTTTAGTAAAAATTAGTGATGATTTTGCGTAAACCCGGAAATTGTCGATTATTCCTAAAATTTATTTCTTAAGAATTAAAAATGATTTTTCAAAACGGCTTTTTGCATTAAAAAGAGGATACTTTAATTAATAATTGGTGATATTTCCACAAGGATCCTTCAAGAAATTAATTTTATAGCGAATTTTGAAAATTATCGATGAAAATTGCAAGATCGAAAATTTTATCAAAACTTCAAATATTGTTTTCTCAAAAACTAAAAGTTATTTTTCAAAACGGGTTGGTTCATTGGGAAGAGGACACTTTTATTAACACTTTGGGAAATTTTCATACTCATATTCCAAGAAATGGATTTTATACGAATTTTTAAAACTTAATCGGCGAAAATTGCAAAATTCGAAAAAATTGTCGATTATTTCAAAAATTTATTTCTCAAGAACTGAAAGTAATTTTTAAAACGGCTATTTGCATTAAAAAGAGGATACTTTAATTAATAATTGGTGATATTTCCACAAGGATCCTTCAAGAAATTAATTTTATAGCGAATTTTGAAAATTATCGATGAAAATTGCAAAATCGAAAATTTTATCAAAACTTCAAATATTGTTTTCTCAAAAACTAAAAGTTATTTTTCAAAACGGGTTGGTTCATTGGGAAGAGGACACTTTTATTAACATTTTGGGAAATTTTCATACTGATATTCCAAGAAATCGATTTTATACGAATTTTTAAAACTTAATCGACGAAAATTGCTGGAAAAAAGGATACTTGAATTAATAATCGAAAGAACAGCGACAGTTCTGTTAGTAATGAATATGATGATGAATTACAAGCGAAGAGAAGGAAACTAGAGGAAACTGCAACAAGAGATTTTATATATCTCTTATTATATTGGGATTGTTACAATGAGGTTGCTAACGACAAACCTGATATAAACACAGTTGTATTGAATAAAAAAAGTCCTATTAGGGTTATACTTGATTCTTATCTACAGTGTCCAACACCTAAAAGAGATACTAATTCCTGCGAATGATGGAGTAGTAAGTAATAGGTTTTTAACATCCGACCAAATCCGAATATTAGATAACTATCCGGTATCCGGTCGGATTTTAAAAAATGACCGAATACCGGATAATTGCTGGATATCCGTTTCACCACTAATAAAAAATGCAAACCGAGAATATTGTTGTAACTCATTGCATTCTTTATAGAAGAAAAAATCAAACGGTTAGCTTTATTAAAAGAAGATTCAATATTCGTCTGTAACATTAAATTTACAAAATTATTATTAAATTAAAGTATCGAATTTTGCGTAGTTAAAACATATTATGAAATAAAAAAAAAAGTAATTTTGAAGTGCCTTATCTCCAAAACGAGTAACATTAGCTTAAGACAAGGTTGAGTAAATCATCATCTAAAATCCATGTTATCAGCAACCATGGTGCTTTGATTGAATGGTACTTCTATATTCACCGGTCCTCAACTTCTATATTTATAACAATGTGAAATGGAGTACATCAACTAATATGTCATTTATAGAATGGATTCTGGAGCCTCCCCCAGAACAACCTTGGATTCTGTTTCTATAGCATTATAACAAATCAGCTAATATCGCTTTAACAGAGTAAACTGTATGCCTGGGCCATAAGCGACTTTCGCTATTGTCTTTATGATATTGTATTATATCAAGTGATGCAAGTAGATATTATAGCTGATAGTACATAGGCTAATATTTTTTTGACGATGTAGATAATAACATCTCATTCGCATACGACCTCGGCGTCTGTTTCTAAGCATTGTATTAAATCAACTAATCTCTTTAATGAAGTAAATTGTATGCCAGGCTGCAAGCGACCTCGGCTATTGTCTGTATAACATTATATGCTGTAGGTACAATCTTGTTCTCGGGAAATGCACACTCCAGGTCAAGTGCTGTTGTCTGAGCCGAGCGCCCACGAGCCACGAGCTTCGTGTGCGCTCGGCTCAGCCCGTTTAGCCAGCGACATGTCGCATCTCACAACAGCGCTTGACCTTGAGTGTACATTTCCCGAGAACACGACTATACATCTGCTAATATTTTTTTAACGATGTAGATCATAGCGCTATTGCCGTAAACGACCTCGGCTATTATCTCTATGACATTATAGCTGACAGTAGATCAGGTGTAAATTATAACGCCTCAGCCACAAGCGACCTCGGCTTCTATATAACATTGTGAAATGCATCAACTAATATTTCATTTACGGAGTGGATTATCGAACTTCGGCCACAAACGGCTTCTCTCTCGATATTCTTGTTATAAAAGAGATAATATTTCTTTAATGGAGTAAACAATATGTTTCGACCGCAAGCGACCTCAGCTTCCATCTCTATAACATTGTAGTGAAACAAGTAACATCGCTTTAATGGTGTAAGTTGTATGCCTCGGCCGCGACCTCGACTTCTGTCGATGCAATATTGCAATAAAAGAGGTAATATTTCTTTAATGGAGTAAATTTTATGCCTCGGATGCAAGCGACATCGGGTTCTGTTTCTATAACATTGTAGTAAAAAAGGTAATATCTCTTTAATGGCGTAAATTCTATGCCTCGGCCGCAAGCGACCTCGGCTTCAATCTCTGTAACATTGTAATAAAATAGATAAAATCTCTTTGATAGAGTAAATTGTATGCCTCGGCCGCAAGCGACCTCGGCTTCAGTCTCTGTAACATTGTAATAAAAGAGGTAATATCTCATTAATGTAGTACATTCTGTGCCTCGGTCGCAAGCGACCTCGGCTTCAGTCTCTGTACCATTGTAACAAAAGAGATAATATCTCTTTAATATAGTAAATTGTATGCCTCGGCCTCTGTCTTTATAATATTGTAATAAAAGAGGTAATATCTCATTAATATAGTAAATTCTGTGCCTCGGCCGCAAGCGACTTCGGCTTCAGTCTCTGTAACATTGTAATAAAAGAGATAATATCTCTTTAATACAGTAAATTATATGTCTCGGACGCAAGCGACCTCGGCTTCTGTCTCTGTAACATTGTAATAAAAGAAGTAACATCTCATTAATGTAGTACATTCTGTGCCTCGGCCGCAAGCGACCTCGGCTTCAGTCTCTGTACCATTGTAATAAAAGAGATAATATCTCTTTAATATAGTAAATTGTATGCCTCGGCCGCAAGCGACCTCGGCTTCTGTCTCTATAATATTGTAATAAAAGAGGTAATATCTCATTAATATAGTAAATTCTGTGCCTCGGCCGCAAGCGATTTCGGCTTCAGTCTCTGTAACATTGTAATAAAAGAGATAATATCTCTTTAATACAGTAAATTATATGTCTCGGCCGCAAGCGACCTCGGCTTCTGTCTCTGTAACATTGTAATAAAAGAGATATCTCTTTAATAGAGTAAATTGTATGCCTCGGCCGCAAGCGACCTCGGCTTCTATCTCTGTAACATTGTAATAAAAGAGGTAACATCTCATTAATGTAGTACATTCTGTGCCTCGGCCGCAAGCGACCTCGGCTTCAATCTCTGTACCATTGTAATAAAAGAGGTAACATCTCATTAATGTAGTACATTCTGTGCCTCGGCCGCAAGCGACCTCGGCTTCAATCTCTGTACCATTGTAATAAAAGAGATAATATCTCTTTAATAGAGTAAATTGTATGCCTCGGCCGCAAGCGACCTCGGCTTCTATCTCTGTAACATTGTAATAAAAGAGGTAATATCTCATTAATGTAGTACATTCTGTGCCTCAGCCGCAAGCGACCTCGGCTTCTGTTTCTGTAACATTGTAATAAAAGAGATAATATCTCTTTAATAGAGTAAATTGTATGCCTCGGTCGCAAGCGACCTCGGCTTCTGTTTCTGTAACAAAAGAGATAATATCTCTTTAATGGTGTAAATTGTATGCCTCCGCGGCAAGCGACCTCGGCTTCTGTCTCTATACCATTATAATAAAAGAGGTAATATCTTTTTAATAGAGTAAATTGTATAAAAATTATTTTCACCCACCATAACCAATTCGTAACAAATAATTAATGCATCAAAAAATTATTTCTACTTTTGAAACATTTTATGTATATAATATATAAAAAAAATTACCTTAAACCAGGAAGAATAAAGTTATTAACTTTTTGAATATTTAAACTATTACAAAAGAGTATTTTCGAAAACGCTTCAATTAAAGGAGCCGCCATATCGACTTTTCTAGTTTGATTGGTCATTTGGTAAGTATACATCGCTAAATTATGCAATTTAGGAAAAATAACTACAAAAGAAAATACATTAATTATAAATAAATAATAAATTAAATCAATATTTACCATCATCTTTAAAAGATTCTTTACATTTTAAGACAATATTCCCCATTGTTACAATAATTTGCCTTAAAAGTGTATGATTCTCAATTAAAGTAACGTCATTTATGTACGTTTCTAGTTGCATATAAGCTTTATCATGAACTTCTTTGCTATTACAATCGGTTATTAGATGACCTAAAGCTGGAATTGTCGCTGTTCTAACCAAACTAAAATAAATTTTAAATTAATAAATTAATAGTGATTTAATATTAAAAAGAAATTTTACACATCAGTATCATTTGCTAAAGTAACTATAGCTGGTGTAACTTTTCCAATTAATAAATTTTCCCCACAATTTTTTACAATCGATGAAAACAAACCAGCGGAAGCCACTCGAATTAATTGTCTTTGATGAACGACTCCATCCCATAATATCGTAACAACAATTTCTTGATACCCTTTTAAACACAACTCTCGCGCCGTTATTTCTAAACAATCCAACGGAGTTCCACACAATGGCAAAGTAAATAAAAATTGTTTAAACACTTTCTCAATAGCCATTTTATCACAATAAGTTAATATTGAAACCAAATAAACGGGGATAACGTTTAAACTTGGCGAATATTGGTTGTAACTAGATAAAACTTGTTCGAGATTTTCAATTTGAAAGCGAAAAATCGGAGCGATTTTATATAAAGTACAATTTTCGCCGAACGTTATACAAAGATTTGTGAAAAAATCAATGAATGGTTGAATTTGTTGGGTTAATTCTATGTGGGTTAGGCTGTTTAGAATATCGGGGATTGCGTTATCGATTAACCAATCGAGTTCGGGCCATGAAATTTTCGGGGTTTCTTTTATTGCCGAATCAAATTCGTAGATTATCATTCCGATGTTGATTGAGGATTTTGTGAAATTGTTCGGGGTTGTTAATGATGTACATATGTTTAAAAAGTCTGGTCCTAAAAATAAAAAATTAAATTAATTATAATATTATACTTATATAATACTATACTTTGTATACGACAACGATTGAAATTGATTAATAAATTTATTTTTTTAAATAAATTTTTTAATAGAGTTTAAACGTCAATGAGACACAAATTCAATATTACCAACTGTAACCAACTTCACAATTTGTCAAAATTAAATGTCAATTTTATGAAACGTCATGTTTTTTTTTACGAAAATTAATTAATTTATGAATTATATATATAATTATTAAATCATACGAAAAAAAGGAATTTGTTTACGTTTTTTTAATATCAAACCTTTGGAAAGTCCTAAAAAAATTAAATTGAATTTTTTTGAAATATTGACGTTTCAAATAATTATTAGTCCGTCAAGTTGATTACACATAAATAATGATTATTCACCGCTATTATTCACTCTGTGAAAAATGACTACCCTTTAAAACCCATCTGTTTAAATAAATTTTTGAATAAAGTTTAAACGTCAATGTGACACAAGTTCAATGTGTAACCAACTTCACAACAATTTGTCAAAATTAAATATCAATTGTATGAAACGGCATGTTCTTTTTACGAAAATTAATTAATTTATGAATTATATATATAATTATTAAATCATACGAAAAAAAGAATTTGTTAACGTTTTTTTAATGTCAAACCCTTTGATTATATATAATATGGATTGAGCTAACTGAATATATCTACNTGCATCAAAAAATTATTTCTACTTTTGAAACATTTTATGTATATAATATATAAAAAAAATTACCTTAAACCAGGAAGAATAAAGTTATTAACTTTTTGAATATTTAAACTATTACAAAAGAGTATTTTCGAAAACGCTTCAATTAAAGGAGCCGCCATATCGACTTTTCTAGTTTGATTGGTCATTTGGTAAGTATACATCGCTAAATTATGCAATTTAGGAAAAATAACTACAAAAGAAAATACATTAATTATAAATAAATAATAAATTAAATCAATATTTACCATCATCTTTAAAAGATTCTTTACATTTTAAGACAATATTCCCCATTGTTACAATAATTTGCCTTAAAAGTGTATGATTCTCAATTAAAGTAACGTCATTTATGTACGTTTCTAGTTGCATATAAGCTTTATCATGAACTTCTTTGCTATTACAATCGGTTATTAGATGACCTAAAGCTGGAATTGTCGCTGTTCTAACCAAACTAAAATAAATTTTAAATTAATAAATTAATAGTGATTTAATATTAAAAAGAAATTTTACACATCAGTATCATTTGCTAAAGTAACTATAGCTGGTGTAACTTTTCCAATTAATAAATTTTCCCCACAATTTTTTACAATCGATGAAAACAAACCAGCGGAAGCCACTCGAATTAATTGTCTTTGATGAACGACTCCATCCCATAATATCGTAACAACAATTTCTTGATACCCTTTTAAACACAACTCTCGCGCCGTTATTTCTAAACAATCCAACGGAGTTCCACACAATGGCAAAGTAAATAAAAATTGTTTAAACACTTTCTCAATAGCCATTTTATCACAATAAGTTAATATTGAAACCAAATAAACGGGGATAACGTTTAAACTTGGCGAATATTGGTTGTAACTAGATAAAACTTGTTCGAGATTTTCAATTTGAAAGCGAAAAATCGGAGCGATTTTATATAAAGTACAATTTTCGCCGAACGTTATACAAAGATTTGTGAAAAAATCAATGAATGGTTGAATTTGTTGGGTTAATTCTATGTGGGTTAGGCTGTTTAGAATATCGGGGATTGCGTTATCGATTAACCAATCGAGTTCGGGCCATGAAATTTTCGGGGTTTCTTTTATTGCCGAATCAAATTCGTAGATTATCATTCCGATGTTGATTGAGGATTTTGTGAAATTGTTCGGGGTTGTTAATGATGTACATATGTTTAAAAAGTCTGGTCCTAAAAATAAAAAATTAAATTAATTATAATATTATACTTATATAATACTATACTTTGTATACGACAACGATTGAAATTGATTAATAAATTTATTTTTTTAAATAAATTTTTTAATAGAGTTTAAACGTCAATGAGACACAAATTCAATATTACCAACTGTAACCAACTTCACAATTTGTCAAAATTAAATGTCAATTTTATGAAACGTCATGTTTTTTTTTACGAAAATTAATTAATTTATGAATTATATATATAATTATTAAATCATACGAAAAAAAGGAATTTGTTTACGTTTTTTTAATATCAAACCTTTGGAAAGTCCTAAAAAAATTAAATTGAATTTTTTTGAAATATTGACGTTTCAAATAATTATTAGTCCGTCAAGTTGATTACACATAAATAATGATTATTCACCGCTATTATTCACTCTGTGAAAAATGACTACCCTTTAAAACCCATCTGTTTAAATAAATTTTTGAATAAAGTTTAAACGTCAATGTGACACAAGTTCAATGTGTAACCAACTTCACAACAATTTGTCAAAATTAAATATCAATTGTATGAAACGGCATGTTCTTTTTACGAAAATTAATTAATTTATGAATTATATATATAATTATTAAATCATACGAAAAAAAGAATTTGTTAACGTTTTTTTAATGTCAAACCCTTTGATTATATATAATATGGATTGAGCTAACTGTATATATCTACTAACAAAAATGTGGCTCAAGGTGAATAGACGCAGATGGAAAGCGATAATGTGAAAGTGTAACAAAGATAGACATAAAACGGTACTAAACAGACGGGCGCATGCGCACAAAAGTGTCAAACCTGACGTTTATCGTTTTGTTGCAGCCAGTCACACCGTTATGTTTAAAAATGTATTGTTTCGTGTGCAAAGTTCGATAATACAGTTTCACATCACCTGTAAGTATTATAAATGTTACTTCTAATTGATAGTTTTTTATCTTATAAATGAACGCACGCCCATTATATGTCAGTACGCTTCTATGTCTATCTCGGTTCGATCACCTTGCGCAAGCTATCTCTCTCGTTGGCTCAATCCATATTATATATAATCAAAGGTCAAACCTTTAGAAAATCCTAAAAAAATGAAAATGAATTAAGTTTTTTGAAATTTTGACGTTTCAAATAATTATTCAAGTCTGTCAAGTTGATTACCCGTGAATAATGATTATTCACCGCTATTATTCACTCTGTGAAAAATCACTACCGTTTAAAACTCATCTTTTTAAATAAATTTTTGAATAAAGTTTAAACGTCAATATGACACAAGTTCAATGTCACCAACGGCAACCAACTTCACAACAATTTGTCAAAATTAAATATCAACTTTATGAAACGTCACGTTTTTTTTTACGAAAATTAATTAATGAATGCTTAAAACATACGAAAAATAGTATATTATTCATCAAGCGTATAATGGCGGCTGTTACCCACGAAGATGAAGTTGCAACACGAGCGAGTGTTGTAATCTGAGTGGGTAACATCCATTATACGCAAGTTGAATACTATACTTTATCTACAACTATTTAATTTTGAAAAAAAAATCAAAAAAAGAAAAAAATAAATAAACTTGATAGACATTTCAGACATAATCTCAATATAAGAAAGCTGTCATTTCTGTTAATATTTTATTTTTTGATTAGTAGGCAGTGTCAGAACTGTGGAATAATGGCCTCATTATTCAACACTTTGTCTGTCATGAGTAATGAGTGTCATTACCCGTCAAAAATCAAATGTATAACGAATAGATAATTCAATAGTTGTAGATAAAAGAATTTGCTTACGTTTTTTTAATGTCAAACCTTTAGAAAGTCCTAAAACAATTAAATTAAATTGACGTTTTTTGAAATTTTGACGTTTCAAATAATTATTCAAGTCTATCAAGTTGATTAATAAGATTAATAATGATTATTCACCGCTATTATTCATTCTGTGAAAAATGACTACATTTTCGTTTCAGAAAACTCATTTATCAGGTATATATTATAAGGTAGTCGTGGATAAATATTTTAACCTCTATTTTTTAATTCGGAGGAGTGTTTTCAAATTGAAGCGCCAAAAAGAAGTGTTGCTATTGGTCAGTTTTAAGCAAAAATTACACTAGGAAAATTCGAGATGTTGCCGGCCGCCTAGAAACATTCGGGATTAGCCGCACGTCTCTCAAGACGGCTAAACCCGAATGATTCTAGTTCTAGGTCTTGTGTTAGTTCTAATGATAGTGTAAAACTAGCACTAGACCTAGAACTAGAAACATTCGGGTTTAGCCTTGCGTCTGTCAAGACGGCTAAACCCGAATAATTCTAGTTGTAGGTCTTGTGTTAGTTCTAGTTTTAGTGCAATAAAAATATGCAACATAGTGATATCTTATATTAACTAGCGCTACCTGCCACTGTCCCTAGAACTAACATTAGACCTAGAACTAGAAACATTCGGATTTAGCCGCACGTCTCTCAAGACGGCTAAACCCGAATGGTTCTAGTTCTAGGTCTTGTGTTAGTTCTAGTGATAGTGCTAGTGTAAAACTAGAACTAACACTAGACCTAAACCCGATATTTTCTAGTTCTAGGTATAGTGTTTGTTCTAGTTTTAGTTCAATAAAAATATGCAACATAGTGATATCTTATGCTAATTGTACACTTTTATTGAGCTATAACGGACACTGCGTTCTTCGTATTGATCCGTTATATCGAGGTTTTATCGTAATGCCAAATTATATTGAAATGTTGAATTTAATGTGGGACAAAGTAAGTAGGTACCCCCTGGTTTCTATGGAAACATATTTTTGTGTATTGCATCTTAAGTGAAATTCACTGTATATTTTTCAATTATACAGGGTGAGTCAAATGTCTGGAATATAGCCAATAACTTCGCCATTTGTAGTTTTATAGAAAAATGTTTTAAATAAAAAAATTCTGTATTAATTCGGAAATCAACATTATTATTTTAAATAGGATGCATATGTTTTTTTTTACATATTTTAATAGAGGATAAATCCCTCTACGCAATGAACATATCAAATCATATGGTTGTATAAGAAAAAAGTCGAGAAAAAATGCGTTCTCTGAAAATATTAAATCAGCAAATTACAATCAAAGTAGGCGCCGAAATAACGCCGTTGACGGCTTTAAATGTCAAAAAATTGACAGTTCAAACAAATATGGCGCAATTAAGAATCCAAATATTAATGATTTGGTGAAAGAAAACGCACTCAAAGTGCAGTTTGTACACTGTTCAGTAATAATTACCCGAATACACAAATTACACAATCCAAAACATTACAAAAAAATCCTTTAACACCGGAAGTGTTAAAAACCTTCCAAAAAGTGGACGGCCGAAGACCAATGACGAAACTACATTAAAAGTGTGTCACCGTACCCCTACATTATTAATTATTTATAATTGTTGAAGCTGTCATTTTTTTGACATTTAAAGATGTCCACATTTGACACACCTGTATGTAAGGTTATATACGGAGTGACATTTAGTTTTAGCACTGGTTAAAATTTGTAATTAAAATCGAAATTAATAAATTCAGTCGAATTAAAATAGAAATAAATGTTGAGAATTCAATTTTGATTACTTCCGCTTTAAAGTTATTGACAAAAAATGTTAAGAATGGAACTTGGAATTATTTTTGATAATTCAAGAATCCTAGAAAGAGCAGAAGCATATATCATATGTATGTCATTTTAAAAAGGAATGTTTCAGCTTCAATTTGATGTAAGTACAATTTTTTGATCTTCATAAGTACACCTACAACAATTGTTTAAATTTTAGTATGCGTTTTGACGTTAAGTTGAAAACATAATAAAAATTCAACATCTTTNCAACACTTTTTATTCACCTTTTCTTTTTGAATAACGAAAGCTCAAACGTCAATGTGACATATTTACTTCAAAACATGATAAAACAAAACTCCCTGTTAATTTTGCCAACTTTACAACAATTTGACAGGTATTATAGAAAAAAAATGAACTATACATTATTAATTATTTATAATTGTTGAAGCTGTCATTTTTTTGACATTTAAAGTTGTCAACGGCGTTATTTTGGCACCTACTTTGATTGTAATTTGCTGATTTAATATTGTCAAAAAACGCGTTTTTTCTTGATTTTTTCTTATACAACGATATGATTTGATATGTTCATCGCATAGAGGGATTTATCCTCTATCAAAGTGTGCAACGAAAATATATGCATCCCATTTAAAGTAACAATGTTGGTTGCCATAGCAACGAAACAAAAAACAATACAAACAAGCAAATATCGCCAAAAAATGCGCCACGATTATTAAAGAAACTTGTATTTGAAACATTTTTCTTTAAAACCACAAATGGCAAAGTTATTGGCTATATTCCAGACATTTGACACACCTGTATGTAAGGTTATATACGGAGTGACATTTAGTTTTAGCACTCTGGTTAAAATTTGTAATTAAAATCGAAATTAATAAATTCAGTCGAATTAAAATAGAAATAAATGTTGAGAATTCAATTTTGATTACTTCCGCTTTAAAGTTATTGACAAAAAATGTTAAGAATGGAACTTGGAATTATTTTTGATAATTCAAGAATCCTAGAAAGAGCAGAAGCATATATCATATGTATGTCATTTTAAAAAGGAATGTTTCAGCTTCAATTTGATGTAAGTACAATTTTTTGATCTTCATAAGTACACCTACAACAATTGTTTAAATTTTAGTATGCGTTTTGACGTTAAGTTGAAAACATAATAAAAATTCAACATCTTTTATCTAAGAAATTTTATAACCCAACCTAACATGTATCATATACCAGGGGTGGCCAAGCTCCTTGATAGTCCGAGCCATTTTTCAAAATTCGAAATTTAAAAAAAAAAAAAGGACCCCGAGTACATTTATCGAGAGCCACAAATAATCATTCAAAGAGTCGCATGCGGCTCGCGAGCCACAGTTTGGCCACCGTTGTCATTTACCATTTTAAAAAGGAAAGTTTCAGCTTCAATTTGTTATAAAAATGATTTCTTAATCTTCATAAATAGAGCTACAACGACTTTTTAAGTTTCAGCATGCGTTTTAACATTTTGAACTGATGAAAATGTAACTAAAATTCAACCTCTTTTATCTAAGAAATTTTATAACCCAACGTAATATGTATCATATATCATTTTAAAGAAGAAAGTATCAGCTTGAATTGGACATCAATATCACTTCTGAATTTTCATAAATAATCCGTCCACGATATTTTAGGATTTGACTTGTTTTTAAACATTTTGAGATTATGTTGGTTATGCAACAAATTTCAAAACCTTTTATCTAAAATTTATTAAAATCCAAGCTGACATGTGTTATATATCATTTTAAAGAAGAACATTTCAGCTTCAATTTGATATAAAAACATTTGTTTAATCTTCATAAATAAGCTTATAATGATTTCTTAAATATCAGCATGCGTTTTGACGTTTTGAGGTTAAGATAAAAACATAACAAAAATTTAACTTCTTTTATCTCAGAAATTTTATAACCCAACCTAAGATGTATCATATATCATTCGAAAGAGGAACATTTCAGCTTCAATTTGATCTAAATATAATTTTTTGATCTTCATATTCACACCTACAAGAATTGTTCAAATTTGAGCTTGCGTTTTAACGTTTTGAGGTTGTGATGATAACGTAACCAAAATTTTACTTCTTTTATCTAAAAAATTTTATAACCCAACCTAATATGTATCATATATCATTTTAAAGAAGAAAGTTTCAGCTTTTATTTGACATCAATATCACTTCTTAATTTTCATAAATAACCCTTCTACGATTGATGTTTCGACTGGTATTTACCTGGTACTTAAAATCCTCTCTGTTTTAAAATTCCCGCCAAAAAATAGCTTTGAAAAGTTACACTGTATAAACGTGACTTTTCATGTTACTCCTCCGAATTAAAAAATAGAGTATAGTACAAGAAACGCNCTGGTTAAAATTTGTAATTAAAATCGAAATTAATAAATTCGATCGAATTAAAATTGAAATGAATGTTGAGAATTCAATTTTGATTACTTCCGCTTTAAAGTTATTGACAAAAAATGTTAAGAACATCCTTGGCTATCTTTAAAAACGTTAATGAAATGCTTGGAATTATTCTTGATAATTCAAGAATCCTAGAAAGAGCAGAAGCATATTATATCATATGTATGTCATTTTAAAGAGGAATGTTTCAGCTTCAATTTAATGTAAGTACAATTTTTTGATCTTCAAAGGACACCTACAACAACTGTTTAAATTTTAGTATGCGTTTTATCTAAAAAAATTTATAACCCAACCTAACATGTATCATATATCATTTTAAAGAAGAAAGTTTCAACTTTTATTTGATATCAGTATCACTTCTTAATTTTCATAAATAACCCTTCCACGATTTTTTATGTTTCGACTGGTATTTAAACATTTTAAGATTAAGATGGTAGCATAATAAAAGTTCAACTTCTTGTATCTAAAAATTTTTAAAATATATCCTAGCATGTTGTATATATCATTTTAAAGAGCAAAGTTCCAGCTTCAATTTGATATAAAAATGATTTCTTAAACTTCATAAATAAACCTACAACGATTTTTAAAGTTTCAGTGTGCGTTTTGACGTTAAGATGAAAACATAATAAGTATTCAACATCTTTTATCTAAGAAATTTTATAACCCAACCTAACATGTATCATATATCATTTTAAAGAAGAAAGTTTCAGCTTTTATTTGACATCAATATCACTTCTTAATTTTCATAAATAACCCTTCTACGATTATTTATGTTTCGACTGGTATTTACCTGGTACTTAAAATCCTCTCTGTTTTAAAATTGCCGCCAAAAAATAGCTTTGAAAAGTTACACTGTATAAACGTGACTTTTCATGTTACTCCTCCGAATTAAAAAATAGAGTATAGTACAAGAAACGCGAATGACCCATTAAAACTGTAGGAAATAAAATATACTTACGTATTTCTATAGCCATATCTTTCTCAATCCTTTCTAAAACGTACGGTTTATTCGCCACATACATTAAAATAAACGGTAATAAACGATTCAAAACGTTCATAATTTTTATCACTAATTCTGGGTAAATATTTTTTGTGGGAGATTCCGTTTTAGATCCTTTTAAATAATAATTCAATTTTTGTAGGAGACTCTTTATAAGATGTGATGTAAGAAAATCTACAAATTAAACAAAAATTTAATACCTACGAATTAATTTAAAAAAATTGCATTCCCACCGATATTCAAAGCCCATCGTGCTAAAACCGGGAATAAAATTTCAACACAACTTTCGACGACAATCTTGCTGGGATCTTTTAGAATCGTTAAGGCCAAATCTTCACATTGCACGTATTTATCTTTATCATCACACAAAGCCACCACTAAACTTAAAGCTCTAACGACAACGCTTCTTACGGCGTCTTCACGATCATCCAACATTTGTTGTAACATTGATAATAACAAAGAATTTCTTATGGTACACTTAAAAAAAATAAAAATATATTATAGAATATTATTAGACTAGAAAATATATTATTAATATATATTATAGATGGCCAAAATGAATGCTCCCTGAACTGGCTTCGCGCCTTAGTCCCCACGCCTTCCCGATGAGAAGGGGCGAAGCTGCATACAGTTCGGGAGGATGAACTACCAAAAATGAGAAGAGTAACGGCGTGAATACCAAAAGCTATTAACATACTCGCGGATGTCCGGGAAACGTTCGCTGTATTAAATAAACAAAACCCTCACCTCGAGGTCACAAACTGGTGTTTGCTACATTCTGAGGAGAAAGAACACTGGCGTTTGAAAAAGCGTCTGAATGACTTGTCATTCACAAGGGCAGAATGAATTTTCTGTTCAGCGGAATCCTCACCCGGGTGTCTCGTGGTGTTATCAATGAGGAAGAAGAACCGAACTTCCTCGACTCGAGAATCGAAGAAGAACGTGTCGTTGTTGGTGTCTCCTACCTTTTTCCCAAATCCAAATGTCTAGTGAGGAGTTTGGAGAGGATCCTAGGATATTAAAGGTAATTTAATGCTACTTCCATCGTGGCAGAGCTGCAACTGCAGTATTATGCAGACACCTAGACATGATGCAAAATACTATCGCTCTGATTCAAGAGCCATGGTCTATTAATTCGAATGTTTCTGGTTTCAGGATCGACCGAGAGTTACAATCTATGTTCCTAGACATATCTCTACGTATCTCCTGCCGGAAGAATCAAATCGAGACTCCGCTGTAGTCAGGATTCACTGCTTCTTGGCGGGGAAGAAAATGACGCTGACTCTAGCATCTGTCTACCTACCAATTGAAGAGATGGCTCCCACTGCGGCCTTGACAACACTAGTCAACGCTAGTAAGGTAAATACGTGGCTGCTTATTGTAGGCTGCGACTCCAATGCTCATTCTGTAGCTTGGGGATGCGACGAAGGAAACTTTAAGACCTTGCTTGAATTTATTACGAGTAATGACTTTCATGAGAACAGTGGAGGAGAAAGAAAGGGCAATACCATGGTGGACTCTCGATCTCCATTCACTGAGGGTCACCTACAGGAAAGCTTTTAATAAAGCTAAACAAACTAGACAGATTCTGACTAGACTGTATATAAAACACACCAGTTTGGTACGTCAAAAGAAGCGACAAGCCTGGAGAGGTTTTTGCGAGGAGGTAGACAGTACTACTAAATTGCGGCCAAAAACATATCTGTGACATTCTAAAAAAGAACGGCGACAGTTTTGCCAAGGATCCAGAAGAATCATTACACTTCCTAATGGATGTTCATTTTCCAGGTTCTCTGCAAGATTTTTCAACGCTGCCATACCAAGTGGAACTAAACAACTCTCGTACCAGACATGACTGACAGACAGCCAACCAGGTTGTACAGAACGAGTTGATAGAGTGGGCCGTTGGCAGTTTTGAGCCCTTCAAATCACCCGGACCTGATCTTTCCTGCTCTTCTTCAATGGAGCCTAGAGGATATGAAAGCACACTTGATGCCGGTCGAATCCAGCCCTCGATTCCACTGGTCATTGCGGGCTGGATAAAGACAAAGCTAGCAAGCAGAGATGTTCAGGCTAAGGCGAAAGGTCACACAGTACAGAGAGCTGTGGTTAGAGGCTGCCCACAAAGTGGAGTACTCTCACCGCGTCTCTGAATGCAGCCGGCGCACACTGGGGCAAAGAGCTTTAAAAGTTGGCATTAAATCAAATATAAGTTTTTTAGTAGAATTAGGTATGGAAACGTTTTATATATAAACTGTATATATGGTATTTAGTATATTTGAACGAATTACTGACCATTTTTAACAAAAAAAAAAATTGTTGGATTCAAACAACTTTTCTGGTCGACCTCGTTTCAACTGGTTTTTATATACAGGAAATGAAATAGAAGCATCCAACCAATCTTTGCTGGATTCTAAAAATCTTTCTTCTATTCTACACNTCGGTGGATGCAAGCGTGTAGAATAGAAGAAAGATTTTTAGAATCCAGCAAAGATTGGTTGGATGCTTCTATTTCATTTCCTGTATATAAAAACCAGTTGAAACGAGGTCGACCAGAAAAGTTGTTTGAATCCAACAATTTTTTTTTTTGTTAAAAATGGTCAGTAATTCGTTCAAATATACTAAATACCATATATACAGTTTATATATAAAACGTTTCCATACCTAATTCTACTAAAAAACTTATATTTGATTTAATGCCAACTTTTAAAGCTCTTTGCCCCAGTGTGCGCCGGCTGCATTCAGAGACGCGGTGAGAGTACTCCACTTTGTGGGCAGCCTCTAACCACAGCTCTCTGTACTGTGTGACCTTTCGCCTTAGCCTGAACATCTCTGCTTGCTAGCTTTGTCTTTATCCAGCCCGCAATGACCAGTGGAATCGAGGGCTGGATTCGACCGGCATCAAGTGTGCTTTCATATCCTCTAGGCTCCATTGAAGAAGAGCAGGAAAGATCAGGTCCGGGTGATTTGAAGGGCTCAAAACTGCCAACGGCCCACTCTATCAACTCGTTCTGTACAACCTGGTTGGCTGTCTGTCAGTCATGTCTGGTACGAGAGTTGTTTAGTTCCACTTGGTATGGCAGCGTTGAAAAATCTTGCAGAGAACCTGGAAAATGAACATCCATTAGGAAGTGTAATGATTCTTCTGGATCCTTGGCAAAACTGTCGCCGTTCTTTTTTAGAATGTCACAGATATGTTTTTGGCCGCAATTTAGTAGTACTGTCTACCTCCTCGCAAAAACCTCTCCAGGCTTGTCGCTTCTTTTGACGTACCAAACTGGTGTGTTTTATATACAGTCTAGTCAGAATCTGTCTAGTTTGTTTAGCTTTATTAAAAGCTTTCCTGTAGGTGACCCTCAGTGAATGGAGATCGAGAGTCCACCATGGTATTGCCCTTTCTTTCTCCTCCACTGTTCTCATGAAAGTCATTACTCGTAATAAATTCAAGCAAGGTCTTAAAGTTTCCTTCGTCGCATCCCCAAGCTACAGAATGAGCATTGGAGTCGCAGCCTACAATAAGCAGCCACGTATTTACCTTACTAGCGTTGCACACTGGGGCAAAGAGCTTTAAAAGTTGGCATTAAATCAAATATAAGTTTTTTAGTAGAATTAGGTATGGAAACGTTTTATATATAAACTGTATATATGGTATTTAGTATATTTGAACGAATTACTGACCATTTTTAACAAAAAAAAAAATTGTTGGATTCAAACAACTTTTCTGGTCGACCTCGTTTCAACTGGTTTTTATATACAGGAAATGAAATAGAAGCATCCAACCAATCTTTGTTGGATTCTAAAAATCTTTCTTCTATTCTACACGCTTGCATCCACCGAGATGTATATTCTGACTTGAAATATGACAATTTTTTTTTTAATTTCTTCAAATCTTTATCGTCACAATTTGTACGGTTCTTAATCTCTTCAGTCAACAAATTAAACTGTTCGTCAAGATCACGACTTATGGAACTTCGCATAATATCGATAAGATCTAATCTTTTTATGAACATAGTGTTTAAACTCATACCTGTGAATAAAGAAGTAATAATAAACGCACTAAACGAATCATCTTCATGTGCGATTGACAGAAAACGTATCAACCATTACATAAAAATCAGATACAATATATAAAAATACATAAAAATATTTACCGTTAAATAATATTAAATTAGGATTGAACTTAATAATATCAAAATATTTAAATTTAAATTGACATGACATTAAAATACTTAGTATTTTAAATAACAGGAATGGCTAATTACTTACTATTGTAATGGGTGATACGTTATCTCTCAGTCGCACCTGAAGACGATTCGTTTAGAATTTCGAAACCGGTAGTACAGAAGACAAATAAAAATTAATCTTCACACATTCATTTGTGTTTTCATTTTATTTAAAATTGGCTGTTCTACATGGGTTTCATTTTAGCTATCTATTTTCAAATTACTTGTATATTGTGCTAAAATACAAGTATGCGAGAAAAGAGCAAATATGAGCACTCAGAAGCAATTAATCTTTAATATACAATTAACGTCAATTATAAAAATGCAAAAATAAAGGTTCGGACTAGCTCGGAACATTATTAATGACTCATCATTTTTGAGAATAATTTTATTTAAAATAAACGGACTGTATTGTTTGAAAGCTTCATANAAAATTGTGATGATATCTCAAAATCTAAAACCGAAAAAATTTTTTTGACTACGTCATCCAATTCTCTATAAAAAAGTGTCCATATAATGTCTTAGTTATAATACTCCACCTATAATAATAACGAAGATAATTGCACTTGCTGGTTTTACGATATTTCCAATTTTGGCCTCTAGGGGAAAAACAAAAGACGATAGCGCTATGAGGTTTTCGGCATTAGCAGTATCTCGAAAAACGAGATCATGACATGTAAGCTACTTTTTTTCTAACTCTTATAGTTTCCGAGTTAGCCTATTCGGACATCGAATTTGAACCATCCTGTACAACAGCACTGCTAAAAGTCAGAAGCTATAAATGATGATGTTCATGAAGCTATAAATAATAAATTGAGAACGGCGGGCGCTTGTATTGCTGGATTTCTCTAGGACGTTCGATACTGTAAATCACGAACTTTTGCTAGCTATTTTAAAATCCAGCGAACTATCCCTCTCTGCGGTTAAAATGTTTCAATTTTTCTTGGGTGACAGAAGGCAGAAAGTTATATACAATAACTCAAAATCTAATCTTCTTTCCACAGATTGGGGTATTCCTCAGGGATCAGGCATCAGCCCTATTTTGTTTGCATTATATACGTCGAGAATTGATGATTGTCTTGATTATGTACAAGGTCACTTTTATGGCGATGACACGCAACTTTATTTATCTTTTTGTCCAGAATCGGTGGATTTGGCGTGTGGCCGTTTTAATTCTGATCTTAACAAAATTTCGGAATGTGCGCAACAACATTCCCTTAAAATTAATCCTACTAAATCTCTACTTATTCTTATATGCAACTATTCCTTCTATTTCTCAAGATATAAAAAGTCTAGGTGTGATTATTGACAGAAAATTAAATTTTACATCTCATATCAATAAATGTTTAAGATCATGTTTCTACAAGGAGGTGTGTGCAACTAAATATTAACGTGAAGAAATCAAAATTTATGACAAATCTTGTTCCCAAGTCTAACATCAACATTGGGGCTATGAGGTCTGTGTATCGAGAGATAATCAAACAAGCGAACTAAACAGAAGGAGCACACTCGCATGGACAGGCTACAGGAAACTTAGAGACATTTTCAAGAGCGATATTCCTATATATTTGAAAATCAATGAGTGTTTCCGCTTATGACATACGGCTCCGAAATATTAACATTAACGGTAGCCACTGCCAGAACGTTAAGGTGACGCAAAGACCGAAATGAAGAAGAACTGGCGCAAATGATGTGGTCAACATTGTAGCAAAGCTCAACAACTGGATTCAGACAGCACAGAATAGAGTCGAATTGAACAGAATAGAATGTCCAACAATGGACGCAGAGTACCTCTAACTTTTAATACAGCATCAAAGCTGATCAACTCCATCTCCCATCGAGCTTTTTGCGATAGATGGGATGAGACTGCAGTAGGTGTCTTTGCAAAGAAAATTCTGCTTTACCCTGACCGGAAGAGATCTACTCAGTTCCTAGGAAAATCAAAAAGTGATTAGTAAGCTCATGTTCTACATGAAGCTGACAAATAGATGCCTCTATAGAGGGTATGAAATGGAAGATGAGACGGTAAGTCATATTGTTTGTGACTGTCCAACCTCGCGTACTTAAGGGCTTCTGTTCTATTAAAACCTTGGGCTGGTTTTCTGACCCCTAAAGAAACTGTAAAATATGGGGATGTACAAAGGACCTAAGGCCTACATATATATATACATATATACATAACTTAATAAAAAAATAAACTCACCGAAACATATGGAATTAAAGCAACACAAGATTCGGCGACTAAAAGCCGTCTCTCAACGTATTTATGAGCTAATTGTTCCCAACATTGCGGAAGAACTTCGTTTTCAACTAAAGATTCTTTCGAGAATTTCGCGATTCCAACGATTCCCGTTAAAATTTGGGATCGTTCCGCTTCCGATGGTTTTTTTTTCAAATTAAATAGTTGCTGGAGTAGTTTATCTCGCATATTAGAATCGTTACATAGCAAAACGGCGCTTATTAATAAAGGAATGGCTTCTTCGCGTTTATTTAGAATGATATTTGGAATTATTCTCAATAAACTCTGTGATAATAATGAAGTTAACGTGCTCGTGGTGATTCCGGAATTTAATAAATCTATTAAAATATCATTGTCGATTTTTTGGGGAGTATTTATAGAGCAGAGTTTTAAAAGTTCCATTTCGAAGATGTTTGAGAATATCCTAAAAAAATAATTTAATAAAATTAATTAATTTTTGTTTAGTAAAAATACCTTTCTTTCGAATTAGACGATAAAACTTCGCTTAAATCTTTATTTTTTTCTGGTACGGTTTCAATGAATTGTTCGTTATTACTCGAAATCGTAACATCGTTCCAATCGATTTCATTTAAACTATTACTTGAAATATTATCTTCAATAGAAACATCCGTTTTAACCAAATTACTTTTCTCAATAATCTCGAAATGTTCCGGGGAATTACTTCCAACCGTAGAAGTTTTACTGCTACCAATAAACGAGAAAGCTTTCTTTTTTAACTCCTCCGCATTTTGAATTAAAGCTTCATTTTGTTTTCTAAGACCTTCATTATCGTTTCGTAAACAAGAAATTTGAGATTCTAATTGGGAAATTCTCAAATTCCCCTCGACAAAATCATCCTCTAAATTTTTAAGCTTTTTCCTCACATTTTCATCGATTAAATTGTCACTGGGCGTTTGAGATTCTTTATGGACTAGATTATGACCGCTTTGTTTTAAACCTTCCCTGTATATTGTTAATAAACCGGCCGGTTTTGAAATGTTTAATCCGACATCATCCCAATCTTCGAAATCTTGATTTTCATTTTCATCCGCAAAAGTAATTGATGTTAATTTATATCCGTACTCCAATAAATATTCGTTTATTAAATAATTCAAAGCACGTTGTTCGTGAGGTTTTATCGTATTCACATTTACATGATGAATTGTACTTTTATTTGGTGTATTATTTTCCGATTCTACAAAAAAAAAATTGTTTAAATTATTTTATAACCTCAAAAAAATGCTTAAAAACACCGCTAGATGGCGACATAAATGTCAAACTTATTTCATTTATTTTATACATTTTAATAAATACTAGATGTAAATAAGTAATAATAATAAATTATTATCTTTTTTCATACTTGTTACTACAGTTTTTAAATTATTTTTAAAGCATTAATAGTTTCTTTAACTGTAAGTAATCTTAAAGAAGTGCTTAAAAACGCCACTAGATGACCACATAAATGTCAAATTTATTTTTTATATTTTAATGAATACTAAATGTAAATAAGTAATAATAATAAATTAATTATTTTTTTCATACTTGTTACCACAGTTTTTAAATTATTTTTAAAGCATTAATAGTTTCTTTAGCTTTAAATAACATTAAAAAGTGCTTAAAAACGCTACTAGATGGCGATATAATGTCAAATTTATTTTTTATATTTTAATAAATACTAAATGTAAATAAGTAATAATAATAATTAATTATCTTTTTCATACTTGTTACTACAGTTTTTAAATTATTTTTAAAGCATTAATAATTTCTTTAGTTTTAAATAACCTTAAAAAGTGCTTAAAAACGCCACTAGATGGCGATATAACGTCAAATTTCTTTTAAACATTTTAATAAATACTAAATGTAAATAAGTAATAATAATAAATTAATATTCTTTTTCATACTTGTTACTACAATTTTTAAATTATTTTTAAAGCATTAATAGTTTCTTTAGCTTTAACTACCCTTAAAAAGTGCTTAAAAACGCCACTAGATGGCGATATAATGTCAAATTTATTTTATACATTTTAATAAATACTAAATGTAAATAAGTAATAATAATAAATTAATATTCTTTTTCATACTTGTTACTACAGTTTTTAAATTATTTTTAAAGCATTAATAGTTTCTTTAGCTTTAAGTAACTTAAAAAAGTGCTTAAAAACGCCACTACATGGCGACATAATGTCAAATTTATTTTATCCGTTTTAATAAATATTAAATGTAAATAAGTAATAATAAATTAATATTCTTTTTCATACTAGTTACTACAGTTTTTAAATTATTTTTAAAGCATTAATAATTTCTTTAGCTTTAAGTACCCTTAAAGAAGTGTTTAAAAACACCACTAGATGGCAATATAATGTCAAATTTATTTTATACATTTTAATAAATACTAAATGTAAATAAGTAATAATAATAAATTAATATTCTTTTTCATACTTGTTACTATAGTTTTTAAATTATTTTTAAAGCATTAATAGTTTCTTTAGCTTTAAGTAACCTTAAAAAGTGCTTAAAAACGCCACTAGATGATGATATAATGTCAAATTTATTTTATACATTTTAATAAATAATAAATGTAAATAAGTAATAATAATAAATTAATTATTTTTTTCATACTTGTTACCACAGTTTTTAAATTATTTTTAAAACTAAATAGTTTCTTTAGCTTTAAGTAACCTTAAAAAGTGCTTAAAAACGCTACTAGATGGTGATATAATGTCAAATTTATTTTAAACATTTTAATAAATACTAAATGTAAATAAGTAATAATAATAAATTAATATTCTTTTTCATACTTGTTATTACAGTTTTTAAATTATTTTTAAAACATTAATAGTTACTTTAGCTTTAACTACCCTTAAAAAGTGTTTAAAAACGCCACTAGATGGCGATATAATGCCAAATTTATTTTGTACATTTTAATAAATAATAAATGTAAATAAGTAATAATAATAAATTAATCATCATTTTCATAGTTGTTACTACAGTTTTTAAATTATTTTTAAAGCATTAATAGTTTCTGCAGATTTAAACATAAAGTGTTTAAAAACGCCACTAGATGGCGACATAAATGTCAAATTTATTTTATTCATTTTAATAAATACTAAATTTAAAATAAATAATAATAATTAATTAAATATAATTTTCATACCTGTAGCTACAGTTAAATTATTTCTTAAAGCATTAATAGTTTCCTTAGCTTTACGTAATTGGAATTCTAAAACGGCAACACGTTCATCGATACTTTGCTCACCGTCCTCTGAATATCTAGTTAAATCTAAACTATCCAAAGTCGCCTGACTACCAGATCTAGCTAAAAAGTAAAAAGAAATCGTTTTAATAACTATCGTTAAAGATATAAATTAAAATTTACTTATTCCTGATGGTGTATCGTAAGTGTTTAACTCAAAATTGCCGGGGTTCGAGAAAAAATCTTTCAAAACGCGGACTTCTCGCCCGGATTCCACCAGTTCCGTGTGAAATTCCAAAGCGCTTAAAAGAAAGCGATCGTTTATCAATTTGGCGGCGATTTCGTGGTATGACGGGGAGTGTTGCGGGTCCGGTTTTTTTAATTCCATCGTTTCGGACATTTCCCAACGCGGTGGAAATCGAAAAAATTAATATTTGATTTACATATTTATGGTAATGTTGATGCGAGTAAACACATTTGACGTTTTGTGACAGATGTTTTTGACAACGTCAACTAAAAATTAATACCAACATAAATATTTTTTTTTATAAACCTTTTTTTTTAATTTATTATTAATATTTAATTATAAAAATTGTTATATATATTTAGATAAAAATGAGAGTATTATAAATTAATAAGATTGAGTTAAAAATTATTTGTAGAAATTGAATTAAAACAGGGGTGCCACCATAACACTTAGTTTTTTAAATATTATATTTATTATTAATTTGTAATTTATTTAATAAAAAGACAATTTAATACGATTAATAGTAATTTATTAAGTCTAAAACAACACATACAAAAAAATATTTAACCTAAGTGAAGGAATGTACTTAAAAAAAAATACTGAATACAATTTTTAGTCGATATTATTCATATTCATACGTTTATTTCTTTCAATGTTTCGAATATCCCGTTCAATTTCAAATCTTCGCACATCCGTTCGTTGTAAAAAGTCTTGTTTTTCTAAATAGCCATCTTTGCCTTTGTTAAAAGTGTGCAACTCATCTTCAAGATTCTCCTCCTTTTTAAATTTGTCCCAATCGAGTTTCGATTTTTCCAAAGTAGTAATTTTTTGCTTCTTTCCTAACTGACTTATCAATGAAGTTAACCCACCAGATCTTGCTCCACCTCTCTTAGAAGTACCCAACGAACTCGAAGGTTTATTAATGAGTTTAGCTTCTTTCGCAGGAAGCTCCTTCTCCACTATCACTTCCTCCCCGGCGAATTCAAATATTTGAGTGACTTTAACAGTTTCTTTTTTAGCTTCTTCTTTAGGAATGGAAATGTTTTGTTTCGTATTTTCTTTAGTTTCCTCGATATCGGGTTTTTGTGGCGCCTCTTTAGGCTTAAAACTTGTATCTTTCTTAAACATAGCCCATAAATCATCTACTTTCTTTTTTTGTTCCTCCTCGGTTAATAGTTTCTTTTCAGGTGATTCACTCAAATCCGAATTACCTCCATCTTTGGGTTTTTTTCTTGATTTTGTGGGTCTTTTCTTTCTTTTTATACCCCTTGTACCTGGATCTTCTTTATCCGAGAGTGGATCTTCGCTATCTCCATCTGAATCGACCTCCGAAACGGCTTCATTTGCTGTTTTTCCAGGATCAAAATCTTCGTCGCTTGTATCGCTATCTTCAGGGTATTCTACCTTGTTCATTACGGTTTAAAGTGAGGTTATGTCCACGATACCGATTGAGGTTAAGATTATTTAAAGCGCGAAATTAAATGAAAAAGCCGGTGGAAATAACGTTAATTATTAACTCACGTTTAGTTTGTTTTAATGTAATAATCTCATGCAATAACTTTTTCTTTCCCTTTAAAAGAAAAAAAAACTAAATAGTCGATATTTCTTACCAACCTTTAAACAATAAAACTTCCTGGAAGCGTTGCCAACCCTACTGATTTATTGGTAGATCTACCGATATACGACTTAATCTACCGATTTTCAAAATTTTAACAAAGTATTATGAACACATCGTACTTAAAATCAATACAATTGAGACAAAAATTGTATCTTATGGGAATACCCTATTTATATTGCATAAAAGTATATATCAACGATATGGCAATCTCGCTCGAGCAACGTTGCCAGATCGTTGGTATATACAGCACTCAATCTCTCAAAGAGCAACAAATTTATCAAATTTTCGTATCTATCTTGATTTTGACGTATCTACGAGCAAAAGTGTGAGAGAGCAATATTGTTAACAATAAAATNCTTTATTCATTTTAATACTAAATTTAAAATAAATAATAATAATTAATTAATTATCAATCTCATACCTGTAGCTACAGTTAAATTATTTCTTAAAGCATTAATAGTTTCCTTAGCTTTACGTAATTGAAATTCTAAAACGGCAACACGTTCATCGATACTTTGCTCACCGTCCTCTGAATATCTAGTTAAATCTAAACTATCCAAAGTCGCCTGACTACCAGATCTAGCTAAAAAGTAAAAAGAAATCGTTTTAATAACTATCGTTAAAGATATAAATTAAAATTTACTTATTCCTGATGGTGTATCGTAAGTGTTTAACTCAAAATTGCCGGGGTTCGAGAAAAAATCTTTCAAAACGCGGACTTCTCGCCCGGATTCCACCAGTTCCGTGTGAAATTCCAAAGCGCTTAAAAGAAAGCGATCGTTTATCAATTTGGCGGCGATTTCGTGGTATGACGGGGAGTGTTGCGGGTCCGGTTTTTTTAATTCCATCGTTTCGGACATTTCCCAACGCGGTGGAAATCGAAAAAATTAATATTTGATTTACATATTTATGGTAATGTTGATGCGAGTAAACACATTTGACGTTTTGTGACAGATGTTTTTGACAACGTCAACTAAAAATTAATACCAACATAAATATTTTTTTTTATAAACCTTTTTTTTTAATTTATTATTAATATTTAATTATAAAAATTGTTATATATATTTAGATAAAAATGAGAGTATTATAAATTAATAAGATTGAGTTAAAAATTATTTGTAGAAATTGAATTAAAACAGGGGTGCCACCATAACACTTAGTTTTTTAAATATTATATTTATTATTAATTTGTAATTTATTTAATAAAAAGACAATTTAATACGATTAATAGTAATTTATTAAGTCTAAAACAACACATACAAAAAAATATTTAACCTAAGTGAAGGAATGTACTTAAAAAAAAATACTGAATACAATTTTTAGTCGATATTATTCATATTCATACGTTTATTTCTTTCAATGTTTCGAATATCCCGTTCAATTTCAAATCTTCGCACATCCGTTCGTTGTAAAAAGTCTTGTTTTTCTAAATAGCCATCTTTGCCTTTGTTAAAAGTGTGCAACTCATCTTCAAGATTCTCCTCCTTTTTAAATTTGTCCCAATCGAGTTTCGATTTTTCCAAAGTAGTAATTTTTTGCTTCTTTCCTAACTGACTTATCAATGAAGTTAACCCACCAGATCTTGCTCCACCTCTCTTAGAAGTACCCAACGAACTCGAAGGTTTATTAATGAGTTTAGCTTCTTTCGCAGGAAGCTCCTTCTCCACTATCACTTCCTCCCCGGCGAATTCAAATATTTGAGTGACTTTAACAGTTTCTTTTTTAGCTTCTTCTTTAGGAATGGAAATGTTTTGTTTCGTATTTTCTTTAGTTTCCTCGATATCGGGTTTTTGTGGCGCCTCTTTAGGCTTAAAACTTGTATCTTTCTTAAACATAGCCCATAAATCATCTACTTTCTTTTTTTGTTCCTCCTCGGTTAATAGTTTCTTTTCAGGTGATTCACTCAAATCCGAATTACCTCCATCTTTGGGTTTTTTTCTTGATTTTGTGGGTCTTTTCTTTCTTTTTATACCCCTTGTACCTGGATCTTCTTTATCCGAGAGTGGATCTTCGCTATCTCCATCTGAATCGACCTCCGAAACGGCTTCATTTGCTGTTTTTCCAGGATCAAAATCTTCGTCGCTTGTATCGCTATCTTCAGGGTATTCTACCTTGTTCATTACGGTTTAAAGTGAGGTTATGTCCACGATACCGATTGAGGTTAAGATTATTTAAAGCGCGAAATTAAATGAAAAAGCCGGTGGAAATAACGTTAATTATTAACTCACGTTTAGTTTGTTTTAATGTAATAATCTCATGCAATAACTTTTTCTTTCCCTTTAAAAGAAAAAAAAACTAAATAGTCGATATTTCTTACCAACCTTTAAACAATAAAACTTCCTGGAAGCGTTGCCAACCCTACTGATTTATTGGTAGATCTACCGATATACGACTTAATCTACCGATTTTCAAAATTTTAACAAAGTATTATGAACACATCGTACTTAAAATCAATACAATTGAGACAAAAATTGTATCTTATGGGAATACCCTATTTATATTGCATAAAACTATATATCAACGATATGGCAATCTCGCTCGAGCAACGTTGCCAGATCGTTGGTATATACACTACTTATGAGTCATGAGTAAACCCCCGGCTTAATTTGAAAACGGTTCAAAATATAATATTGTCAAAATAGATATTGACACATCTAAGAGCAAAAGTGCAAGAGAGCAATATTGTTAACAATAAAATTTGCAACAATTTTTGTTATAAAAGTTTTCTTATAGCAAGCTCCGATTCTCAAGTGTTACCTTTAATAACTTGAAAGAGCAACAAATTCATAAAATTTTCATATTTTCGTATCTATCTCGATATTGACGTATCTAAGAGCAAAAGTGCAAGAGAGCAATATTGTTAACAATAAAATTTGCAACAATTTTTGTTATAAAAGTTTTCTTATAGCAAGCTCCGATTCTCAAGTGTTACCTTTAATAACTTGAAAGAGCAACAAATTCATAAAATTTTCATATTTTCGTATCTATCTCGATATTGACGTATCTAAGAGCAAAAGTGCAAGAGAGCAATATTGTTAACAATAAAATTTGCAACAATTTTTGTTATAAAAGTTTTCTTATAGCAAGCTCCGATTCTCAAGTGTTACCTTTAATAACTTGAAAGAGCAACAAATTCATCAAATTTTCATATTTTCGTATCTACCTCGATATTGACGTATCTAAGAGCAAAAGTGCAAGAGAGCAATATTGTTAACAATAAAATTTGCAACAATTTTTGTTATAAAAGTTTTCTTATAGCAAGCTCCGATTCTCAAGTGTTACCTTTAATAACTTGAAAGAGCAACAAATTCATCAAATTTTCATATTTTCGTATCTACCTCGATATTGACGTATCTAAGAGCAAAAGTGCAAGAGAGCAATATTGTTAACAATAAAATTTGCAACAATTTTTGTTATAAAAGTTTTCTTATAGCAAGCTCCGATTCCCAAGTGTTACCTTTAATATCTTGAAAGAGCAATAAATTCATCAAATTTTCATATTTTCGTCTCTATCTCGATATTGACGCATCTTAGAGCAAAAGCGCAAGAGAGCAATATTGTTAACAATAAAATTTGCAACAATTTTTGTTATAAAAATTTTCTTATAGCATGCTTCGATTTTCAAGTGTTACCTTTAATAACTTGAAAGAGCAACAAATTCATCAAATTTTCATATCTATCTCGATATTGACGTATCTAAGAGTAAAATTGCAACAGAGCAATATTGTTAACAACAAAATTTGCAACAATTTTTGTTATAAACGATTTCTTATAGCATGCTTCGATTTTTAAGTGTTACCTTTAATAACTTGTAAGAGCAACAAATTCATCACATTTTCGTATCTATCTCGATATTGACGTATCTAGGAGCAAAAGTGCAAGAGAGCAATATTGTTAACAATGAAATTTGTAACAATTTTTGTTATAAAAGTTTTCTTATAGCAAGCTCCGATTCCCAAGTGTTACCTTTAATAACTTGAAAGAGCAACAAATTCATCAAATTTTCGTATCTATCTCGATATTGACGTATCTAGGAGCAAAAGTGTAAGAGAGCAATATTGTTAACAATAAAATTTGCAACAATTTTTGTTATAAAAATTTTCTTATAGCATGCTTCGATTTTCAAGTGTTACCTTTAATAACTTGAAAGAGCAACAAATTCATCAAATTTTCATATCTATCTCGATATTGACGTATCTAAAAGTAAAATTGCAAGAGAGCAATATTGTTAACAATAAAATTTGCAACAATTTTTGTTACAAAAGTTTTTTTTATAGCATGCTCTGATTCCCAAGTGTTACCTTTAATAATTTGAAAGAGCAACAAATTCATCAAATTTTCGTATCTATCACGATATTGACGTATCTAAGAGCAAAAGTGCAAGAGAGCAATATTGTTAACAATAAAATTTGCAACAATTTTTGTTATAAAAATTTTCTTATAGCATGCTTCGATTTTCAAGTGTTACCTTTAATAACTTGAAAGAGCAACAAATTCATCAAATTTTCATATCTATCTCGATATTGACGTATCTAAAGGTAAAATTGCAAGAGAGCAATATTGTTAACAATAAAATTTGCAACAATTTTTGTTATAAAAGATTTCTTATAGCAAACTCCGATTCCCAAGTGTTACCTTTAATAACTTGAAAGAGCAACAAATTCATCAAATTTTCGTATCCATCTCGATATTGACGTATCTAAGAGCAAAAGTGCAAGAGAGCAATATTGTTAACAATAAAATTTGCAACAATTTTTGTTATAAAAGATTTCTTATAGCATCCTCCGATTCTCAAGTGTTACCTTTAATAACTAAAAAAAGCAACAAATTCATCAAATTTTCGTATCTATCTCGATATTGACGTATCTAAGAGCAAAAGTGTAAGAGAGCAATATTGTTAACAATAAAATTTGCAACAATTTTTGTTGTAAAAGTTTTCTTATAGCAAGCTCCGATTCCCAAGTGTTACCTTTAATAACTTGAAAGAGCAACAAATTCATCAAATTTTCGTATCTATCTCGATATTGACGTATCTAGGAGCAAAAGTGTAAGAGAGCAATATTGTTAACAATAAAATTTGCAACAATTTTTGTTATAAAAGTTTTCTTATAACAAGCTCCGATTCTCAACTTAAAAGAGCAACAAATTAACCGCACGTTAACCGTATAATATTCTGATGCGGAAGATATGGGATATTCTGTATATGTCTATAAATTTATTTATAAACTTTTTTCAAACAACGTTTTCTGACTTTGTATTTAAACCTACCGATTTTTTACCATTGATTTTACCGACATTTGGTCGGCGTAGGTTGGCAACGCTGCTTCCTGGAAATAAACTGTCAAAGTCAAACTTTTGTACATAAACGAAAAACGTCAAGTCCTGTCAAGTGTTTCTATTAACATGTTGCCGCTTTTGTTGTTGAATTTTTATTAAAATTACACATTTCGTAAGAAAATGTGATTCTCCGCTACGTAGCAGCGGGTTAGTATTTCGTTAATGAAGATTAATTTGTAACAAAAAATGATGAGGGGGGACACTTTGTGTTTTAGAGGGGCACTGAAACGTCGCGATGCGGAAATACAACCGACAGTTAGACTGTGGAACGTGATTTTGGGGCCCACAGTACAGGCGAGGAAACATGTCCAAGTCGACGGAGTTGGACTCCCTACAAACAGTCTTTTGGCTACAACAAACCGACAAGTTGAACACATTTGCCAAGATGTGGTATCACGTCTTTCTGTGGGCCTTGTTTTCATCAATTTTTGTTCATACGGTAATAAAATTAGAACAAAAAAATCTAAATGTGTCAACATTTCTTATCTAAATATAAATTAAAGTGTTTATTGCGTTTGATATTTGATATCAGTTCAATTTTATAAAAGAAATAATATTTTTTTATTATTTATGTTTTAGGTAGCGGGATTAATAGCGTTTTTAACACTGCGAAAACACAAATTTGGTAAATTTTTTCCAATAGCAATTTTATTAATGGGCGTTGTAACCCCCGTAATGTCCGGGATAATAAGCAGTGCAGCTATAGCGTGCGTTTATCGCTACTCGAGTCTGCCGATGCAACCGCTGTACGCTTTGTTTTGGGGCGTTGGCCAAACGGTCCTGTCGGCTTGTATAGGGTTCACCCGGATCCTTGCTACACTCTAATTTCTACTTGCACCGGCATCGCACCGCTGAAAAGAGAAAAAGAGGCGCGCAAAAATTAAACCAAAACGAAAACTCCTATCATTATATCAATTAAACAATCGATTATTAAATAATTTATTAAAATAAATCACCGATGAATCATTAAAGGGGACGATTTTTAATGAGTTTAAGTGAGGAAATAAAAATGGAAGGAAAAATAAATGTGATGGTGCTACACGGGCATAAAGTTATATTATTAGAGTATTTTGTATTGTTTCTTATATTTTTTAAGTAATTTTTTTTAATTGTTTTGGTTGTATTTTTCATTTGTATATTTTTTATTATAGGTAATTGTATAAAGTAAACACTATTGTCGTAGATTTTAGGGATATTTTGTATATATTGCACTGTAATATATTAGTACGTAATTAATAAAGAATACCAATGATTTTAACTTTCTTTTTTTATTTAATATCATTATTAAATATGAATAATGATGACCTTCATTAGCTCGTTTCGAACAGAATTAAATATTGATGTAATACATTTAGGAATGTAATTTATTCAGTTTAATTGATTAAATTTCATTGAAATAAAATTTCAATAGTTCAATTTGTGTAAGGTAAAATGGTTACAAAACCATCAAGATTGTAGAAAACTTGTATGTATTTCTTGGAAACTTCTCTTAAAATTAATTTACATCCCAATGTGATTAAAAATGGAAGGAAAAATAAATGTGATGGTGCTACACGGGCATAAAGTTATATTATTAGAGTATTTTGTATTGTTTCTTATATTTTTTAAGTAATTTTTTTTAATTGTTTTGGTTGTATTTTTCATTTGTATATTTTTTATTATAGGTAATTGTATAAAGTAAACACTATTGTCGTAGATTTTAGGGATATTTTGTATATATTGCACTGTAATATATTAGTACGTAATTAATAAAGAATACCAATGATTTTAATTTTCTTTTTAATATCATTATTAAATATAAATAATGATGACCTTCATTAGCTCGTTTCGATCAGAGGGAATTAATTATTGATGTAATACATTTAGGAATGTAATTTATTCAGTTTAATTGATTAGATTTCATTGAAATAAAATTTCAATAGTTCAATTTGTGTAAGGTTCATGAAGTAAAATGGTTACAAAACCATCAAGATTGTAGAAAACTTGTATGCATTTCTTGGAAACTTCTCTTAAAATTAATTTTTGTAATTCGCGATGGTAATGAAAGCTATAACAATACTCAAACGGGTGCTGTAATGAGACTCCTTACAGGATCCGATGCTGTAATGAGATTTTAGTAACATTTTATGGAACCAGTTCAAGTTGGTGACATTGGGTCATTAATTTTTCTAGTTGTCAATGTGACAATGTTTGTCTATGGATGTTTAAACGCGTTCTTAGCATCGAATACAAGGTCCACAATGATGCTGACATTGAACTCTGAGCAATTTCTCTTATTTTTGGAGGTGTACATGAAACATTTTTGTCAGGTGAATACATTTTGTGTTTTGACAGTTTCTAATTGTCAATTCAAATTTCTATTTTCAAGTGTTACGGTATTACCAACTGGTACATACCTATTTCCCTAGATTGTCAAAATTTATTTTATTTTTGAAAAAAAAAGATAAAAACGCGAATTACAAAAAATAGCATAAAAAACACGTTTCATAAGACTTAAAGCACTCATTCATTAAAAAACTCGTGGCTTCGCCACTCGTTTTTCAGCTTGAATTCGTGCATTTTAAACGTGTCTTACGAAACTTGTTTTTTAATATACTATTACATCCCTATGTGATAAGTGATAAGCACCTTCACACACAATATGAAAAACAAACTAAACAACATCAAGAATTAATTACTATAAATAGACTTGAGCAAAGTAAATACAGGTATTTTAAAACAACGTTTAAATATTTGTAGGAATAGTACTACAGTCGAAAATGGGTCGGCAAACAACCGTTTTCGAGATACAGAATGTTCCAATTTTCTAGGACTCTGTTTTTTTGTTTTAAACTATAACTACTACATCCGGAAGTGAAAATTCAAAAATTTTATTTAACAATTAGAGTTTCCAAGAAAAAACACATTTTTTAAAATAAATTATCAGAAAAATTGAACTGACACAATGTGTTACAATTTTTTCCGGAACTCTGGGTAGCGCTGGTTAAAAACACTTCTTATTGTTTTAAATGATTTATTTATTGTTATTACAAAAGATGATTTATTTATTGTTATTATAAACGATGAATGTGATTAATACGAACGAATTGAAACTATTTTAAATGAAGTATTATTCGAAAACGAAGTAATGATGCGAGTTTATTCGAGTGTGTATTCGAAAGTATCTTCGAGAGTGAGTCTTTCATTCGAGCACTTCGTAGGCTCTTTTATAATATTTTTAAAACCAAAAAACTTGTATTTTAATACACAGAATTACGAAAATAAAATAAAATTATGTAGGCAACCCTACTTGCATTAAATATAAAATAATTCTTAACACAATGTAATACTAATATTTTCTGTTTTTATAAATTTTACAAAACTTACAAGTTTATAAGTGTAGCGTCTTTTCATGAAAATACAAAATTATTGCTTCTTGGACAGATAAACAAGAATCCTCAAAAATTGTCTAATAAAATTGTACAATTTTAATTCATCCTTCATCAACAGTAGTGGTGGAACGGATATCCCGTATTCGGCCTATACGGCCATTTTTTAAATCCGGCCAGATATTCAGGCTTTGGCCGAATATTAAAAACCTATTACTTAGTAAGTCAATTTAAATAAAAACAAATTTTTTCCTCTTTCTTGCTTAAAATTGTTAAGTTTTACTTTGGATGATGTGTTGGATTTAATGTTTAATATTTTTTCAACTTAATTAACAATTCTACTGAAGATGAGGATTGTTTCCTCGAAATCGATATAGACATAGATATAGAAATACAATAAAATAAAAAAGCAAGAAAGAGGAAAAAATTTGTTTTTATTTAAATTGACTTAAACAAAGCTTGCTAACGGATAATTTAATCAATATTACTTAGTACTCCACCATTCACGGGAATTAGTATCTCTTTTAGGTGTTGAACACTGTAGATAATAATCGAGTTCAACTTTATTTATCATTAGCAACCTAATTGTAACAATCCCAATACGATATCTAAAATCTCTTGTTGCAGTTTTGTCTAGCTTCCTTTTCTTCACTAGTAATTCATCATCACATTTATTACTAACAGAACTGTCGCTGTTATCACTTACGATTATTAATTAAAGTATCCTCTTCTTAATGCTTTCTTAATAATTTCTTGAAGGATCCTTGTGGAAATATCACCAATTATTAATTGAAGTATCCTCTTTTTAATGCAACAAGCCGTTTTGAAAAATCACTTTCAGTTCTGGAGAAATAAATTTTTGAAATAATCGACAATTTTTTCGAATTTTACAATTTTTGTCAATTAAGATTTAAAAATTCGTATAAAATCCATTTCTTGGAATATGAGTATAAAAATTTCCCAAAGTGTTAATAAAAGTGTTCTCTTTCCAATGAACCAACGCAACTTGAAAAATAATTTTTAGTTTTTGAGAAAACAATATTTGAAATTTTGATAAAATTTTCGATGTTGCAATTTTCATCGATAATTTGCAAAATTCGCTATAAAATTAATTTCTTGAAGGATCCTTGTGAAAATATCACCAATTATTAATTAAAGTATCCTCTTTTTAATGCAAAAAGCCGTTTTGAAAAATCACTTTTAGTTTTTGAGAAATAAATTTTTGAAATAATCGACAATTTTTTCGAATTTTGCAATTTTCGCCGATTAAGTTTTAAAAATTCGTATAAAATCCATTTCTTGGAATATGAGTATGAAAATTTCCCAAAGTGTTAATAAAAGTGTCCTCTTTCTAATGAACCAACCCGTTTTGAAAAATAACTTTTAGTTTTTAAGAAAACAATATTTGTGATGTCTTATCTCAGACTAACAATAGCGTCTAACCTAACTAGTCCTTTAGAATTTTTTTCAAAATAGTTAACAAAAATCTAATCTAAGTATTCAACATTTGATAGGGAGCTTTTCACAATTTATCATGCCATGAAACATTTTAAACATTCTTTGTTCAATCCTACCTTCGAACTTGTCAGTTTCTAGCTTGGTTACGAGTGTTGAAAGTTGTTATTTCATTCACTCTTCTGACTTTCATAGAAACGAGTAAGTGAAAATTTTTTTCAACCACTGTTAGCTAAATATAAAACCTTTAAAGGAACAACTCTCTGTTTAAACGTAACGGATGTTGACTAAATCGTTATATCCTTTTAAGATATACCATTTATCTAAATTAGAATTCAACATTCTAATTTGGATCTTTGGTGCGAAAATTCTTCTAAATCGCCAAAACTGTACCTACATTTCCAAAAAACTTCAAAAAAACTATCTTTGATAAATTTTATTCTATAGCTTGTAAGTTTTAAATCTACGCTAAACAACATTAAAAATCGTTTCTTTTGGCCACACTTAACTAAACAAATAAAATTTTGGTGCAAAACGTGTATACCTTGTCAAAAATCAAAAGTTCAAAAATACACAAAAATTTAACTTACTAACAAGTAGATTCGAACATATTCATATAAATTTAATCGGACCATTCACACCTAATTTAGATTGCTGTTTTGGAGCAACCTAAATCTGACCAGATCTACACTTCAGCCTTTCATCCTCAAACTAATGGCATATTAGAGAGGTTCCACAGAACTCTTAAAACTGCCATAGCTGCCAGAGGAACCGGCTACAAGTGGTACAATGATGTCCCAATTATTCTATTGGGCCTTAGATCTTGTCTTAAAGAAGATCTGGGTTATTCCCCAGCTGAATTAGTGTATGGCCAACCTCTACATCTGCCAAGCGAATTTTTCGTTACTTCTCAAGACCACTTAGAAGTAGAACCACTACTATCTAGTCTTAAGGAGACATTTTCAAATCGACAACCTGTTCCCATTTATTTTCATTCCAACATTAAACCTTTTATCCACATAAACTTATTTGTTACGGTGAGGTTTATCATAAAAATTACTCACTTTATTTGAATTCTAAACATGCCATGTTATCTTTGTTGTAAACTTCTTTTCTAACAACTGTGATTAAAGAGAATGTGCCTGCGCGGTGTTGAACCCGGTTTTATGTGTTATTTACACAAGTACTAAGTTAGAATTATAAATTGAAATAAATACGTTAGTGTTAACAGCCAATTAAAGAAAATAGTTTATAACAGGAAAATTTGCACTTCAAATTTTAATTTAAATAGTATATTCAACATGTTTAGGTTGAATCTAGGTTAAATGATGATCTCTAATCATTTTGATATGTTCTTACAATGTTTGTTGCACCATTTTATATTGCAGAAAGATCTTTAAAATATTGTAATATTACTTTATGTACATCTTCATCCTCTAATATCACAAAACTTCATCTTACTTCACGTTTTCATCTTAAAATGAGTTCCTTTCTCTGTTATTATCAAGTATAAAAGCAATGTGGTGTTGCCAATGGCAAAAAATAACCTAAAATATTAATAATCTTAATTATTAGTCTTAATTATTTTTTAATTCAAAGTTTTATCAAGCTGGTGAAGAGATATCTATAGCTTCATTGTAATGTATTAATCTTGTGGTTATTTATATGAAATTTATGGCTTGTGATAAATAGAAGCTTCTTTAAAATCATTACTTGTAATATGTTGTACTATATTCTTCAGCTTTAACACTAATTGGAGCTGTAATAGTTAACAATTATAAGAAAATGATATCAAATACCATGAAGTACAAGAAATCTTCCTTCCAGAATGATTATTTATATAAATTTTAACCCATTTTACAGAAAACTTAATAATGATAGGAGACTATGATGTCAAGTATCCTCAATAGGAACCTAAATATCCACACTGAGAGGCCTATGGGACACTTCTATGTGATAAAAATGTTGTAAAAAGTTATTATCTACATTTATTATTGTACATCTTGATGTATTGAGATGTTCCTCTTCATTCTAAATCATCAGATAATTCCGTTTTTATTTTTTAATCATCTAATTGTAACTATTGTGGGTATTATATGTTTAAGAACATTTTTATAAATGTTTCAACATAACCTTTCATTATCTTTTTTTTGTAATAAATTGCTTTTCTTTTCCAACTTGTTGAGGTTTTATTCTAGATCCATACATGATTCAATTTCAAAAAGTAATTCATTGATGTTTACCTTTATAAGAGTCTTTTAATTATACTTATAACTTTTTCCAACCCACATTTGGAGCAGGAGCTCCAATTTTTTACCCCATATCTGTTTAAAATAAGACAGTGCAATCTTAAAACTTGTATTTAACACATCTTATGTTTCAATATGTATCCATTAAACTGCTTAACATAAATACGCTATCTAAAAAGTAATAATAAAGTTATACCTTGCAGTGTATTTTGGGTTAATCAATGCCGAAAAAGGTTACCATTTCTTCACAAAAATAACATAATATACTAAACATGATACGCTTTGTTTATTGCTTACTTATTTGTTAATTATAAGAGTCAAAATTAATAACATTGTAAAAAATTACTTTATTGAGGTTATATTTATTAAAAAAGATAGAGGTTATGTTCTTATTAATTTTTAATAATTTATTTATTTTTTAAATACCCAATCATATTCATTGTTATTAATTATACACACAATTATTTCTTTTTATTACAAACAAATAAGATTATATAAAACTTAATTTTATTTAAATAATTAAATTTAAAACCAAATAAATACTTTTAGAAACATTTCATTTCTAAACGTTGGTATTCCGAATTCTGACATTTGTATTATATGGAGGGGGGATCTTGAAAGATGACAGAAACACGCTGCGCGATTAGTTTCATTTTGACATCGGACTCGTTCGGTTTGTTGCAGTTAATTTCTCCACTCCGTGTGTTTACCTGAAAATTAGTGACTTCTCTATTTGTTTTGTGCCTACACCGACGAAATCGTCCCATTTCCGCCCTGCCGAGAAGAAAGAATTATGCCACAACCCACAGAAATCACCGTCACATCTCCATCACAGGTAACATTTACATTCTAATAAATTTTGCAATGTTTGTTTATCATTTCCAAGAAAAAATTTCGTGTTATACATATTTATATATGTCATGAGTAATTTTTTTGGGTAAATTTGCGAAAGATTAATGAGGTAATATCATTGAAAGTAGAGATGACATAATTTTGGTTTAAATGCAGAAATGAAATTCTAAAAGTATGTAATGATTAATACGATTTTTGATGTAATAATTGGATTTATTGGTTGTTGTAAATGATCTGTCACTTAAAATACTTCTTTTTTTATCAAAGATCCACTTAATAATCCAAACATGTTGTGGCCGCTCACGTTTACCTTCATTACCATATGAATTCGTCCTTAAAATAGAGGTAAATAGGAAACGTTTGCATATAAATCGACTGAAACCGACACAATATCATAATAGAAATAACTCAAGAAAGAAAAAAAAGTTTTTACCCTTCCTGATAGGGTTCCTTACAAAATTATTACCGTGAGAAGCGAAAGAATCTACACTCAATTACCAAAAGCAATAACCGACCGCTTACTACTACCAAAAACTCAAAGTGGAGTCTATTTATAGAAAGGACCCTCTTCATTCATTCATTTAAAAAAAAAGTTGTTGGTAGCGTTGTTTTCTCCCTCATTCAAGCAACACACACTGTTGT